AGTCTTTGTTCTCCTAGGAATTAATAATTACCTCATTTTTAAAATCTGCTTGGCCTATGTCATTATCCTAATAATTCTTCCAAAACCCTCCAGCAGAAATTCAAAATCCTTCTGAACACTATTTTACCCATGATTAAGTGATTATACTGGGGCTTCCCTGATGTCTCAGATGGTAAAGAATCCGCCTGCAATGCGGGAGACCTAGGTTTGATCCCTGGGTTGGGAAGATCCCTCAGCCCACTCCAGTATTCCTGCCTGGAGAATCCCCATGGACAGAAGAGCCTGGCAGGCTACACTCCATGAGGTTGCAAAGAGTCGGATTAGATAAAACTTCCCTTTTCAATCCTGACTCAGGGATTGAACGTGGGTCTCCTGCATTGCAGGTGGATCCTTTTTCCCCAAAGATCGCTCTTCCTGATTTCCGCTGGGCTTCTGGCTCTCCCATTTAGCTGTACAGCCCTGGACTCTGGAGTTTCCTAGCCAGTGATGGATCTAGTGTTGAGTCTCCTGTTTCCTGAATCCCAGCTCTTTCTCCTGCTTGGTTTATGCCCTTGGAGTGTTCATGTTATCATCCCAGTTTGATACATTTCTCTTTAAAGGTCAGCTCTGGAAAGGTGGACACCCTAGGTGTGAAAGGTGCCTGGTAATCTCCAGGTGCATGTTTGCTAAAGGAGGTGGGGAGATTTCTTATCAGTGGAGGCAAATGCAGATTCTTACCTCTCAAAAAGAATTTCTCTGATCTGAAGGCTGGAGGGATAGGATTTATTAGGATGGAAGTAGACCCACTCTTGTGAAAACGGCTGTTGGTAAATCAGCAGGACCTGGGCCTCTGCTGCTCATATTTCACCCTCATGCAGAGTAAGAGGAGGTGGCCCATCCCTCGAGACACATTATTTATGTGTAGTGGGAAGTTGTTCTAAATACTAACTTTGTTAGAGTAAGGCACTTTACTGCCATATTGACTGTAGATCAACATGAATGTAGATTACATCAGTTAGACAAACTGTTAGCGGGTGTGACTAGCATGTACGAAACTTCTAGACTCTGCAATCAGTTAAGATCAACATAGCCTCAGATATCCAAGGACCATATACCAAAGCATGAGTATTTGAAACATTATTTAAAGCAAGAATCCAATATTTGGGGGGACTTCTCTGGTGGTCCAGTGGCAGACTTCATGCTTCCAAAGTAGGGGGCCCAGGTTCTATCCCTGGTCAGGGAACTAGATTCTACATGCTGCAACTAAGACCCAGCAGAGCCAAATATTTAACATTTAAAAAAAGAATTCAATATTTCAGACAACTTTAAACCTTGCCCCCAGCGTGACAACGGAAGTATGTGCTTTGTTCAAAAGAAACAGATGTGACAGGAGGAAGGGAAGAGGAGTTGTCTGATTGGTTTTAATATTGCAGTTTACTAAGTCATAGGAAGGCAGATGGGTTGAAGACGAGTGAGAGGAACAGAAGTATTGTCACAATGGGAGCACATCCAGGCTTGCCTGGTGAAGCTTCTGGCAGGAAAGGAATGAAGATGGACCCGCTACATCACACCATACACAAAAATTACCTCAAAATGGGTCAAAGACCAAAATGTAAGAGCTAAACTATAAAACTCTTAGGGGAAAAACACAGGAGTAAATATTCATGATCTTAAGTTAGGCAATAATTTCTTAGACACAATACCGAAAGTGTAAGTGGCAAAAGAAAAACAGGTAAGTTAGACTTGATCAAATTCTGAAAATGATACCTTCAAGAAACTTAAAAGACAACCTACAGCATGGCAGAAAATTTTGCAAATCACGTATATGATAAGGGACTGGTAATGAGAATATATGTATGTATATATGTGTGTGTGTGTGTGTGTGTGTGTGTGTGTGTCTGTATCTTACAACTCAGCAACAAAATGATGAATAAATTAAACAAATATTAAACAAAGGATTTGAATATACATTTCTCAAAAGAAGATATACAAATGGCCAGTAGACAACAAAAAGATACTGAATACCACTATCAGGAAACTGTAAGTCAAAACCTTAATGAGATATCACTTCATACCCTCCAGGATGGCTAAAGCAAAAAAGATAAACATTGAAAAATGCTGGTGAGATGAAAGAAATTGAAAATGATTCAAAGAAATGGAAAGATATTCCATGCTCTTGTATTAAAATAATTTACTTTATTAAAATGACCATACCACCCAAAACAATCTACAGATTTAATGCAATTCCTATCAAACTACCAAGAACATTTTTCACAGAAGCATAACAAATAATCCTAAAACTTATATGGAACCATGAAAGACTCTAAATTGCTAAAGCAATGCTGAGGAAAAAGAACAAAGCTAGAAGTATAACCTTTCCAGATTTTAGACAATAATACAAAGCTACAATAATCAAAACAGCATAGTACTGGCATGAGAACAGACACATAGATAATGGAACAGAGCAGAGGGTCCAGAAATAAATACACATAACTATAGTTAATTAGCCTATGACAAAGGAGGCTAGAATATACAATGGAAAGAAGACAGGCTCTTCAACAGGTAGCACTGGGAAAACTGGATAGTCACATGTAAAACAATGAGATTTGAACATTCCCTCATGTTAAACTCCAAGAAGAGAACAAAGGCAGACTGCTCTTTGATATAAGTCATAGAAGTATTTTCTTGGATCAGTCTCCTAAGGCAAAGGAAATAAAAACAATAGTAAGTGCTTTTGCACAGCAAAGGAAACCATCAACAAAATGAAAAGACAACCTGTGAATTGGGAAAACTGTTTGCAAATGCTGTGATTGACAAGAAGTTAATATCCAAAGTGTATAAACAGTTCATACAACTCTATATAAAGAACCCAGTCCCATCAAAAATATAGGCAGAAGACTTGAATAGACATTTTTCCAAATAAGGCATACAGATGGCTAATAGGCACATGAACAGATGCTCAACATTTCTAATTATTAGAGAAATACAAATCAAAACCATAATGAGATATCACTTCACACCTGGTAGAATGACCACCTCACAACTACTATCAAAAAGACAAGTGTTGATGAGGACGTGGAGAAAGGGAACACTTGTGCACTGTTGGTGGGATGTAAATTGGTACAGCCACTATGGAAAACAGTATGGAGATTCCTTAAAAAGTGAGTAATAGGCTCTGGGTATCTGCTCTCCACAGGACACTGAACTGACTCCTAGGACCATCAAAAAACACCCATCACTTGAGTGGGGACCACATGCCACCTTTTACGTGTGTCAAGGTAGACTGTAAACTGTGTGTCTTGCCCTCAGAAGAGAACCTCCCATGACCAGGTGCCTGCATATCATCTACTGGCTCCCCAGCTGGTAATGTCTTTGGGCCTTGAAGCTTTGCTCAGTCTATCCAAAGAATTCCATGTGAACGCTGACCTCAACAACTACCCACAACACTGGATAACAACTCTGAATCATTCAAGACTCAGCTCCTGGGCTGTCTCCTAGAGAGACATCACAACTTGCAGGACAAGTTAGTTGTACTGTCATTTTTGCGTGAACCTCTGTGTTAGCCTTCTCTACAGAGTATTGTAATTGATCTATTATATTTACATTTCTGTCTCTTTCATTTCACAGCAAGACCCTCCAAGGCAAGGATCAAGTCTGATTTCCCTAGAGACCTGTGTGTTCAGCTGTCCATGGGAGATCTCCATATTGGTGTCCCACAAGCATATCACCTTGTCCAAAGCAGAAATCATCTGAAGCATCTGCTCTTACTATCCACATAGCACCCAAGCCTCGTTCACTGAATCTTGTATATTATAGCATAGTTTCCTATTTACAAGACTATCTCTCCCACTAGATAGTGAGCAACTGAGGGTGGAAACCATGTGAATTTTCTTAATCTTTGAATCCCTGGAGTCTAGCACATAGCCATATAGGAGCTTTTCTATAAACAGTCACTAAACTGAAAAAAATTAATAATAGAATTACCAGAACTACCACAGGATCCAGTGATTCCACTTCTAGGCATTTATCCAAAGAAAACAAAAACACTAACTTGAAAAGATATAGGCACCCTCATATTCACTGCAGCATTATTTACAATAACCAAGACACAGAAACAATCTAAGTGTCCATCAGTGAATGAATGGATAAAGAAAATGTGGTATACATATTTCTGTATACATACAACACAATATTATTCAGCCCGTTGTGGTATCTCTGCCATTTGTGACAACATGGATGAACCTCGAGGGTTATTATGCTAAGTGAAGTAAGTCAGAGAGAGACACATATTGTATAACTTCATTTGCATGTGGAAACTAATAAAAAAAAACCCAAACTGAATAGATACAGGCAACAGAGAGGTGGTTACCACAGGTGGAAGATGAGAGTGTGGTCAAAATGGGTGAAGGTGTCACAAGGTGCAGACTTCCAGTTATAAGTTTTGGGGATGTAACATACAGCATGGTGACTATCATTAGCAATACTGTGTTGTATATTTGAAAGTTGTTAAAAGACAGTAAATTGTAAAAGTTTATATCACAAGAAAAAATGTAACTATGTGAGGTGATAGATATTAACTGAACTTTTCATGGTAATCATTTCACAATACATACATATATCAAATGATTATGTTGTATGCCTAAAATGAACACAGTGTTAAACATCAACTGTATCTCAATAAAAATAAAATGAACACAGTGTTAAACATCAACTGTATCTCAATAAAAATAAATGAAAAAAAATTCTAAATTTCTCACTCGTAACTTCCAGACCACACCCTTTATGAATGTACATAAGACTTGGATGAAATCTGCAGTATTGGCTTTGAAACCCACAGGCCAAGCAGCTTGTAAGCCTTGACTCACACAGATGAGGGCTCTGTAATCTCTGGGAAGGCTGCCCCCAGGGAGAGAGTCTTGTGTGTAGATCCTGGAGGGGAAGACACATTGTGCCCTTGGGAGGAAATGATTCCAAAGCCGCCATGTCTTACCTGGGCTCTGGTGCCTGTTCTCCTCCTGGCTTCAGTTGTACATCACCAGGTTCATCCACTGAAAAATAAACATCCCTATTACAACCAATCTTTAAACTTGATAGCTTAACACAGAGCAGGGCAAATGGTTCCCTCTTCCTTTGAAAGATCTCAGTCTAGTTTCATCAACTCTTTCCAGTTAATTCCCACCTAAGCAGGAGGTCTCAGCCCCTTGTTGCAACATTGTCATCTGCTACTCCCTGAAGAGCCGGGCAACAAGAGGGACAGCTGAGGTCGACCAGCTGGCTGGGCCAGGAGGCCCTCTCCAAAACTCACTGGGAATCAGTTTAATGTACAGTGAGCCCAGCAGGTGTTCTTTAGTTCCCTCTTGGATTTATGACTCCCACATAATCCTCTGCTTTATTAAGCTATTGGAAAAAAATAAAATCTGTCTGCCAAGATCCTAAAGCAGCCTTGGCAGCTAGCGATATATAAAGGCAGTAATTGGAGGCACGGGGGCCGGCAGCTTGGCTGGCCTTTGACAGACTGTTCAATAGCTTCACGGAGGGAAATGCCCCCTGGAATCAGGTGAGGAGAGGTGGCCAGTGTTGTGTCCTGTCTCTGGGAGGGGAGGGCACCTTACCTCCATTTCTGTCAGGTAGAGTCCTTTTCCATCCTTGGAGAGGTTCTGGAAAGCTTCTAGGGTAGAGAGGAGGGGAGGGATCAGGACGGGCCTGGGCCCACATGAGAGGAAAGCCAGCGTTTTGATCCCATGAGAAGCCACAGGCTGTGCTTGGCCTCCTCTCCACTTCTCTTCCCAGTTAAACTCTGCACCCATGAGACAGCTCAGGGCTCAGCTCTCAGAACAGCTCCCTGACTGCTCTGCCCACCTCGCCCCTCCCTGCTCTAGCTTCCCTGCACTTTAGACCCTCTATTCTTGGCCGGGGAGATGCAGAGGTCTTGTCTTAGGCGGTATTTCAAGGGCAGTGCTCTTGTCCAACTGCGAATTCTCTGGAGCAAGATTATGCCTCTGGCTTCTCGTTTACCCTCCCACGGCCCTGTTCTCTCTGTCCTGTTAACTGCCTAGTTCAGAGGTGTGGGGCTAGAGCTGTGGGGTTTAAGGACCACATTGGGGGGTGAGAAGGTTAGGGGGGAGGGGGTGGAATGATCCTAGTGGAGGCCAGACCCCACTTCAACTCAGCCACCATAGCTCCATTTGCAGCTCTATTGTGGTTTGGGGTTTCATGTGAAATTTCATTTCAAACAAAGCGGTAAGCTGCTAAAAAAAGTGTCAAAAACTCTGGCCTACATAGCTGGATTTCTGAGGCCTTGGGGGGACCTCCTGCACCCACCAAAACACCATTTGTGAAATCCTTCAGCAGAGATCAAACAATTTACTGCATGACTAAAGAGTAGGTTTGAACCGTAAACAATCTGGAGGGGGGCCGTGGTGACTTAACCTTGTTCCTGAGTGAGAGGTGCTGTGAAGGGTGAAGAGGAAATAAACGATCTGGGATGTGGAATGTCCTGGGGAGAAAAGGATGCGGAAGGGAGGCTGGGGTCTCAGGCCAGCTCCACGGTCACCTAGGCTGATGTTGGCCCTGCCCCTCAGGATGAGGGCTCCTCTGCAGGACTCCAGCCCATCCCGCTACTGAGCCCTTGCCCAGGCCTGGAGCCAGAGTGCATTCCTGGTCCTCTGCTGTGTTCTCTGGTCAGCGTGATGGTCTCCGGGTGACACTTACTTGCCATGGCTTCCAGTCGCATCAGTAAGCAGACTAGGCTGGGGAAGCTGACTCTCCCAGTGCTGTCACTGTACCGGAGCTTCATGAGGTCCAGCAGCTCACTGGTGATGGAGATCCCTGCGAGGAAGTCTGGGACACAGTGGGGGAGCTGGTGAACAGGGAGGAACAGGTGTGGTCCTCCACTTCGGGAGATCAGAAACACCTGTGTGGAGACCTCGTGGCCTTTCACCACCATCCCCTCCTCCACCTGGCTCGGTGGCCAGTCCACTCCTCTTCTGTGTACTTGTGACTCTTTAGTATGTTCGCTTCCAGGCCCCAACAATACTGTTTTAGAGTTTGGCCAACTCAAAACACTCCTGACTCTTCACAGTCATCTGATAATTCCTGTGGGGATGGGAGCTGTCAGGACACCTGAAAAGTCTGCTCCCAGCCCCACCTTGTCAGGCCTCCCTCCTTCTGCAGGTGACCCTCTCCAACAGCCCTCCTCGCCTAGTCCTGGACCATATGTGGTCTCATGTGCGGTTCCTGGAGAAGGGGCTCAGTCCTAGGTTGGTCATCCAGGGATGAGGCCAGAGACCTCAGGTGGGCAGGACAGAGCTGCATTGCCCTCTTTGTGATCTTATGTGTCTAGCTATAAGCTCCAGGGAGGCACTGACTGCAGAACTGACAAGGGCAGACTGAAAATCAGGGGGATCTATGCACCCCAGTGAGCTAGCAGAACTCTGTAAACTGGACCATCCATCATGGGGACAAGGCTGGTGGCCTTCGGACCCCACATAGTCTGAGACATGTTGGTTTCTCCTGCAGAATTAATAAAACATGAATTCGAATGCCTTTAGATAAGACATGCCTGCAGCTTGTACATTCTCAAACTGCCCCTCAAATCACATCAGTTCCATTGCCCTCTTCAGTTACCTGCTGGCCCCTGCAAGCTTTTCAGTTGAATTCCAGCTATTTTCTTTCTCCCTTTTATTAGTCTGGAGTCATGGGTGAGGGCTCCTTTAAAGGTTTCAACTTTCACTGGCCATTCAGTGGTTCTCAAAGTGTGATCCCCAGACCAGGAGCTTTGGCCTCACTTGGGAACTTGTCAGAGACACCGGTTCTCAAGTCCCACCCCTGTCCTCCAGAGTCAGTACCTTGGGGTGGGCGGTGAGGCTCAACAATCCCTGCTTCCATAAGCCCCCAGGGGCTTCTTCCTCAAAGTCAAGTGTGAGAACCACAACCCTCTGCTGTGAAGACTTAAGGGAGGGGAGGGACTTCCCTGGTGGGCCAGTGGTTAAGAATCCCCCTTCCAATGCAAAGGATGTGGGTTTGATCCCTGGTCGAGGAACTAGGATCCCACATGCTGTGGGGCAACTAAGCCCATTTCCTGCAACTAAGGCTCGATGCAGCCAAATAAACAAATATTTTTATAAGCGGAAGAGGGAGGATAGAGGCGGAAGTGGGGGTAGGGGCAGGGAGCAAGCGCTCAGGTTTCTATCTGCTCTCCAGGCCAGGAGCCCCAGGAGGGAAACCCATTGAGGCTGCCCTTTCAGCAGTGACCTGCGGGAGTCTGATTTTACATTTCATTAGGGAAGGTGGCAATTTCCTGACTTCAGCTTTCTGTGGGCCATTTCCCCGCAGGGACAGTGGGGACAATGATTCCTGCCCTGCCCAGTTCAAGAGCTGTCTAGACAATCAAAGGAGGTGATGTGCGTGAAAGTTGTGGCTGAACTCTGACGCATTCTTGCCCTTCGGTATTAGGTATTATTATCATTCTCCCAGGACTGAAAGCTCTTGCCTCCTTGAAGCAAACAGATACCATGTGATTTCACTTAACCCCAGAACCTCTGCGAAGAGAGGGCACCAGCTGGCCTGTGGGTATTTAACCCTGATGGGCTGGATGCTGCGGTGGATGTGTCTTCAAGCAAGCTAGGTTTCTGGTAGGGTATCAACCATTCAGGGTCATTTTTCACAGTTAGCGCTGTGCTGGGGAGAGAAGGCAATTAGGAGAGCTGACTGGCAGGTGAGAACTCAGGTGGGGGAGGGTGGAGTCGGAGTCTGCAGTCAGGAGGTCCACAGAGGGCGGGGGCACACACACATACACACACGCCATTGCCACTCCCAGTCATCAAAGCTCAAAGGGTTGTCTGCTTTACCTGTGTCCTTTATGGCCTTCCACAAATCCGAGCTGAGGAAAACGTCAGCATTCTTTGGGGAGTTCTGGAAAACATTCTGGTATGGAGGAAGAAGCAAGAAACCCATATGAGCCCCAGTGCCCACATGGAAGAGGGTGTCCTGGAAGATCTTGTACCCATCCCTGGAGGCTGCTTCACTAAAACATGATGGGTTCAGCTCAGAGATCGAAGGGTCACAGCTGAGGATGGTGGTGGGAGGAGGAGGGAGGAGGAGGGAGGAGCGGAAGGGGAAGCAGCGTGGGTTCCATTTGTTAAAGCCCACCGACCTTCTGGCTGCCAACTGCAGGGCTGCAGGCCCCTCTCTCAGGCCCGCACCTCCCCACTCCCAACCTGCTCTCCTTTAACTTCTACACCCCATAGACCGGGCTCTATCCACCCAGGGTGGCTTATCACTTTCCAGGGACATAAAAAGCTTGCCCAGGGTGGGCATTAAGAGCACAGACTTCACAACCAAATTGCTGGGTATAAATCCCAGCCTAACTATTTACAGCAGAGTCACCTTGGGCAAGTGACCTAATCTTTCTGGGCCTCAGTCTACCCCCTCTGTAGCACAAGGCCAATGTACTATCCACCTCGTAGGTTTGCTGCGAGGAAGAAATGAGCACATCTTATAAAGAGCTTAGAAGCATACCTTGCACGCTAGTGAGCGCAGTGTAGGTAGCACTGAAGGCAGGTGAGAACTGCCTCTGGGACTGGGCGATGCCTCAGGGTGGAGTCCCCCAAACACCTCAATTTTTTTACAGGGTAGTTCTCCATTTTCTGGGGACTTTTCTACCTCCCTCTAATTCTCACTCTAACCCTCAGCCTCCTCCTGTTTCCCACGTGAGAACATGGGCTGGTGAGTCATATGCCTCGATGAAACAGACAAGCACCAGAGGACTGAACCAGGGATGTTTCAAAGCAAAATACCCCCAGCAGGTGCTCAGTCCCGGCTTTTTGTGAGAGCCAATTACGGTGAAAGAGCAGCTTGAGGACTTTTTCCTGGCCTTATTTGGCTTGTGTGAGTTCAGTCCTAGATGTTCTCAGTTAGGTAGGGACTCAGCGTCATGCACTTGTTCAGTCATTTGTTCAGCACTTTTAGCATCTGCTGTGTGCTGGACACTGTGAAAGACACTGGGGGAAATGATGAACATGAGGGCTCCCTGCCCAGGAGGATGGGCCATCAGTCAATGCTGTGTCCAGTGGGAAACCCAATCACTTCAATCAAAGGTAGGTGATATAAATATATAGTATTAAACAGGAAGTGTTTGCATCTTATTGTTGTGAGTTCAAGTGTTGAGAGCTGAGTGGGAACTAACCTGATCTGGAGAGGGGAGGCAAGGCCCCCACGGAGCTTTGGGGTCTGGACTCCCTGGCTGGGTGGGCACCAGGCAGGCTCCCATTGCAGGGAGGGGAAAATGAGGAGTCTCACATTAGGGTCCAAAGGAGCAGGTGGGATGAATGAAAGGGCTTCTCCTAGACCCCAAAGTGGAGTCTTAACCCAGAGGGTCTTGGGTACAGCTGGTGAGTTTCGACTCTGTCCTGGGAACAACAGTGAGGCTGCACTGAGGCCACAGACCACAACTGCGACTCTGATCTGTTTTCTGGCAGAGGTAGGGGAAGGGAACGAGGTGAACTAGCAGCTTGGGGGACGCTGTAGTGGGCCCACAGAGAAATGGGGAAGGCGGTGGCCGCTGGCAGTTTCAGCTAGAGTCCACTGTGACCCTTTCTCCTCTGGCCTCCTAGAGCGGTCCTCAGCCTGCCACCTGACTGAGCATTGCCTTGAGCTGTCCAGTGGTGCACACACATCTCCTCAAGCAAAACGGGGGGCTCCCCTTGAGGGTGGGGTGAGGTTCCCCTTCTTTCACAGCCCTCAATCCTGGAGTAGAATCGGGCACCCAGTAAATCTGTGCTAACCCAGTTGGAATGAACACTAGTCAAAAGAGAACATGCTGGTACCTGGCAGTGGACAAGACGGCTCCACAGCCTTGAAAACTCCTCTTGGTCAAGTCGCCCGTTCACCTTCAGCTGGTGGGGAGTTAAGAGTCGAGCGGTCTTGTGTGCAGTGAGCGGAGGGGTCTCAGGCCTGGAGAGGCTCCATCCATCAACTAGTAACACGGGTGGCCCAGCGTCACCTGGACATGGCCCCACGCCAGCTGGCTCTGATGAGTCTAAAAGGGACCTGGGCTTCGACTCATTCCACAGGAGAAAACAGGCAATTGGAAGAAGGCAGCCCTGAGAGAGGGGTGCCAACGTCATTTGCACCCATGCAAAGAGGGTGAACCCCAAACACAGCCTTCACCAGCTGGGGTGGGGCCCCCTTGTAGAGGGAAGTGGGGAGCAGCGGTGGGGGGAGGTCGCTGCAGCTCCTGAGGCGGGCTGAGAGATGAGCACATGTGCTAAGTGTGCGGCCATGGATGGACCACATTCTGGGTACTAAAGCCAGCCCTGGTCCCTCCATGCTGTGTGCTGTGCTTAGTCGCTCAGTCATGTCCGACTTTTTGCGACCCCATGAACTGGAGCCCGCCAGACTCCTCTGTCCATGGGGATTCTCCAGACAAGAATACTGGAGTGCGTTGCTATACCCTTCTCCAGGGGATCTTCCCAACCCGGGGATCAAACCAAGGTCTCCCACATTACAGGTGGATTCTTTACCATCTAAGCCACCAGGGAAGCCTGGTCCTTCCATACAAAGAGTTTAATGAGAACTAATGGAAAACATGGATCTCTGTGGCACTGGAAGGAACTGAGGGGTGAGCAGGAGGAAGGGTAGAAAAGATTGGTCTTCTGTGCAGCCGTCCAGCAGACATGACCTCCCCTGGGGTTACCCGCCCTAGGCTGCGGGGCTCCTGAGTGTCATTCTGATTTATCTGCAGGGATGAGCAGTGTCTCCGAGTGATTCTAAACAACAGTCAAGAGACAGGGCCTGACTGATGAGTTCATCAAGATGGCTCTTATTCAACAATGCCCAGCTTCATGTCCCCAGTAGAGCCTTGTTAAGAGTGAAAGAGCTGGGGGATCTGTGTCCCCTCAGGGAGACAGTTCACACCAAGGGGAGAATTGCAAGGTGACCCCTGGGGATATGCCCACCAGTGGGGAGATGGGGTGGCAGGGAAGAAATGGCTCCCAGGAGAGTGGAAGTCAGGACGGGAGGCAGGAGATCCTGCGTTTAGGTCCCAGTCCAGCCACTTGTGGCCACAGAACTAGGGCAAGTCACTGCACGGCCCAGCCCAGCCTCATCTGTCAATGCAACAGAATAGTAATAACAGTGTAACTGCCATGCAGACCTAGGATTTCCTACATTAGTTGCATGGACTGTATAGTCCATGGGGTCGCAAAGAGTTGGACATGACTGAGCGACTTTTGGTTTGGTGGTTGCTACCTTTATTGAACTGGGGGTTTGTTGAGCAAGGGATTTAAATAGTGGTAAGGAGAGGGGTAGAAGGAAAGAAGTTAGGATACTATCCTTCACCAAGCAGTGAAGAATACTATTAGAACATGGGCTTCGGAGGCTGAAAACTTCAAGTTCAAATCCAGGCACAAATCCTGACTAGCTGTGCAATCTGGGTGAATGACTAAACCTCTCTGAACCCGTTTCTTCCATTGTACCATGGGACAATACTTCTTATATCACAGAGATTCTTGCAAGAACTACAAGGGAAAAAATATCTATCAGTACCATTCTGGGTATGCAGTAGACACTTGATAGATAGTGAGTGTTGTTGTTACAATGGTGGTTCTAGGGAGTTAGTGAGTTAGTGCAGAGTCCCCAGAAGCCCAGGCTCTTTGGCGAGCCCTTAGAACCAAGGAAGAAGAGAAAACAGTGACAGTGAAAAAAGATTCTCTACTGTCCCAGTTAAACTCCTGGGGAAGCTGATGGAGCAGACAGACTCTCAGTGCTGGGGAGGTGGGGGGGGGGTGGTGACTGCAAAGGATACATCCATCAGAGCCACGATGCTGCGGCACTCATCCAAGGAGAACGCGTCCCCTGGAGGTCCTGAGCAGGAGAGCAGAAAGGACTGAGAGGTCAGAAAGGGCTGCGTCGGCCTGGCGTGGCCGTGGGGATAGGGCCAGACCAGCAGGTCCTTACCACTTAGGAATTCCCGGTTGAGAAGGCTCTGAAGCTGCGTAGCATCAATGTCCAGCCCCTGCTCCAAACAAGGAAGGGATGCAGGAATCACATCAGTGCCCAGGAACTGAGGGGCAATGCCTGCCTGACTGTGAAGGCACTGGGATTTCTGAGCACTGAAGTTCCCATCTCACCTTTGTCATGAAGCCTTTCCTTTTTCTTTTTGGCCTTGAAGCGCAACTTGTGAGATCTCAGTTACCTCACCAGGGATTGAACCTGTGCCCTCAGCAACGAAGGCATGGAATCCTAACCACCAGGGCTCCAAGGAATTCCCATGAAGCCTTTCCTGATTGCTCCAGACCATAACTCCCTCCCTGAACATCTGCAGGGCTGATTACTCCTGACACTTGATACCCGGTGAGGGTCACCTTGCATTTCCCTCTGTATTCATTATTGGGCTGAAAGCAGTGTTGGCTTCCTCCCCATCATACCAGGCACTTGGGAGCCCCACAGGAGAAGTGTTATTGAATGAATCAATTCAGCCCTGCAGGTGTGTGTCCCCATCTGCTTCCAGAAAGATGGGAGTGAGAGAAAACATGGCTACTGTGTGGTGTGTGTGTGTGTGTGTGCAATGAGGAGAGATACACATGCCAGGAATCCAGGCTAAGAGAAGCTGCTCTAATTGAGCACGTGACTTAGCATCATCTTCCCAGCCACAGAAGCCAGAAAGGGAGACATCATGGTTTCCCTTGGATAAAAACCAGGAAGCAACAGAGGTTGAGGGGAGAGAAGCTCCTCCTGGCTTAAACTCCGGAAGGTGTTAACTGCCTTCCCTTTTCTGTTGGGGACCCTGACCAGCTTTAAGGGCAGCAGCTTCCATGATGATTTTATGGAGAAGCAGAGCTGTTCCCCAGGCAGCCATTTCTCACACCCAGCCTGGTAAAAGTGAGGGCATAATGAGATATCACCACCCTGGGAAAGCTTGTCCACGGGAGAAGGAGCTGGTGTGAGGGCTCCAGCAGTGGCTCCGCAGAGCACCACGAGGTCAGGGGGAAGGAGATGCCTCCTCAGGGGTCTTCTGGGAACCCACACTTCTGGGAAAGGAGGCCACCTGTCTGATACAGCGAGGGCCCAAGAACTGCCCACCTGTCTTCCCGAGGCCAGCTCGGTACGTATGGTCATCTACATGGCTTTCTGTTTCCCACACCGACATGATGACTAATGGTAAGAGGCCCATCGTGTGGAGCCCTTGGCAGCTGTTTTTCTCCAACAAGTCAAGGATCTTTATAACGGCTTATTAAACCATTAAGAAAATCCCTTGTGCACATAGGTGGCTTGGCAGGAAGAAGGCTGGTGGTGCTTTCTGAAAGCTGGCCAGCTCCCAGGAGGAAGGGTGCCAACGCCAGTGGGAGGTGGCGGAGCGGGAGAAGGGAAGATTTCCAGGGGCATTGCCAATGGCTTGTTTAAAGATTTATACATCTCACCCTCCTATAAGGAGCCCCTCCCTTTCAAAACTCTACACTTCACTCCAGATGTCACCCAGCTGGGGTGTCCCGTCTCCCCGGACCAGTTCTAGAGGCATCCAGGGAGAGAGGTCAGTCATCTTCCTCTCTAGCCTGGTAAGGACTTGGGAGAGGCTTTCTTTCCTCTCATCTCTCCATCCCTGTCCTAGGCAGGGCCCCTCACCACCACGTTGCTAAGTACAGTACCTGCTGAGCATACTTGTAGAAAATGTTCTTCTGGGAGCCATTTCCTGGAAGACTTGCCTGGATGTAAGGAAGAAGAGCCAACATCAAATTTTTGGGAAAGGGAGTGTCCTGTCTGATACAGTGAGGGTCCCAGAACCTCCCACTTGAAAATCAGAGGCTTCATCCAGCAATTGGATCAAACCTTAGTGGGGAATAGGAAAATGGAAGTTTGTGGAAGGAAGATGGTTGGGTCCAGCCTGGCCTCTGAGGCCTGGGTTTCTCCCCTTGTCTCTGCCCCCTTGGAGCTGTCACCAGCCCCTTGTTGTGTCTCTGCACTCACTGGTCAGTGGTGAGGCAGAAGGAAGGAGATAGAAGCTCTTGGGGATGGGCCGTGACCCGTTGAAGGCTGCCACCCAAGCCTTGCGGCACACCTACCTGCAGGGCTCTCAGGTTGAGGCTGCCGTCCAGGTGCCTAGAAAACCAGGGGACAGTGTGACAAGAATGACCAGTTCACTATTCAAAGGAGGCTCATGCTTACATATGGTGGGCCCCTCTGGAGGCTTTGGGCACCTATGCCAAGGACATGTGTAGAGAGCCCTCAGCACAGCGGGCTGTGAAGTGGGCAGTCAGGAGACAGATGAACATCGTGACTTCATGTCCAGTCTTCAGGGTAGGCCTCCCCTGGCCTTCAAATCATTTAGTAAACTGTTCCTTTCACACCCAAATATAGGTGTGTGGTGACCCTCATTGCCAGGATGGCAAATAAGATTTGTCTTAGGTTCCAACTCTGAGTGGTGGCACAGTGACCGCATGGCATGCTAGACTGAGAAAGTCGTGTCTGCACTCAACTGTGAAGACTGCCATGGCAGCAGTGATACCTGCCTCAGTGCCCCAGCAGCGGGTGTGCTGTTGGTCCCAGTCTTGACTGCCAACTTGGCAGTGACCCCACATTCTGGCCACATTTCAGACAACTACCATGTATGCCATGTACCACTTCCTGCGCGTTATGGACAACATTGCTTATTCTTCAATGAGCCCCATCCTTGCCCACTTCCCTGTTTCTGCTTAAGCTTTTTTCCTCCACCAGAGTCCCTTGGACTACAAGGAGATCAAACCAGTCAGTCCTAAAGGAAATTAACCCTGAATATTCATTGGAAGGACGGATGCTGAACCTGAAACTCCAATACTTTGGCCACCGGATGCAAAGAGCCAACTCATCAGAAAAGACTCTGATGCTGGGAAAGATTGAAGGCAGGAGAAGGAGATAACAGAGAATGAGATGGTTGGATGGCATCACCGACTCAATGGACATGAGTCTGAACAAGCTTTGGAAGATGGGGAAGGACAGGGAAGCCTGGTGTGCTGCAGCCCATGGGGTTGCAAAGAGTCAGACATGATTGGGCAACTGAACAACAACAGCACTGCCTTCCCCTTTGAAACACTGAGTTATGTTTTTTCTCAAGGACTAATTGACATGCCATGCCCTCAAGAAGACTTCCTCCAGCCCTCTTGCCAGAGATGGGTCCCTCCCTTTGGTCTCCCATGTGACCCTGCCTTCCATCAAGCAACATCCCCACCCTCTTTTTTGTCTTGGCATTGGACTTGGCATTGAGTTTCTCCAGAGTGAGGACCAAGCTGTGTCCCCCACTGACACAGTGCATTGCTGCACAGAATGATGTGATGTGTTTTTATAAAATTAAGTAGGATAATAATGTTTAGAATCCCAGAAGTTCTGTACCTGTCACTGTTTGGCATTTTCAGGAAGATTCGGAGCAAGAACTCAATAGCTTCTCTGCCCTCAGAGACTACCACCACGTAGGTCCCAGGGCTCAGACTGAAGCATTCTGTGAGGTTGCACGTGGTTTCAGACACAATGCCCTTCTCAGCAATTCTGAATTTGGAGAAGAAGGTGGATGGCAATCTCTCTTGGAAGTGCTGGAACTGGAGGAGATGGCATGTTGGTGAGAAACCCCCTATGTTTATGGGCCCCAGCCACTGGGAGAGACCCCCAACCTCTCAGACCCCCACCATCCCTCAGAACAGCCCTACAGGCCCTGAAAAGGGAGAGACAGTTGCTTACCTGAAGTCTCAAAATGCAATAGAGTTCAGACTGTTATTTAATATAGATGCTAACACTGCAGTGAATGCGAGGAAATATGACATGTGGTTTTACCTCATTAAATCTTACAGCATCCTGGGCTTCTGGGTTTATTGCTCTACTTATATATAAAGACGAATCCCATGAAAACTAGTGAGATTCTTCCAGTACTAGATTACCTTTGGAGCCCCTAAAGTCCCTTCTCCCTGGGCTCTTTTGCAAAGTGCTCTTGGACCCCTGTACCACTGTGCAGCTGGGGCCTTTCAATCCCTCTGTCTCGTCCTTCCAGTGAAGTCCTGAAATGCCTTCTCACTGGAGAATAATAGGCCCTGATCATTTTCCTTTTATTTCAATATTTGCTTAGCGACAAAACAATAAATATAATGCAGTTCCTATTACCGGATGTCACATACATATTACATAATAAAAACCCCTTACTAAATAAATTTTCCCCAATACGGTTGAGATTGGGATTCCATTTAGAATGATCACGCAGCGTGAAATGACTGCTTGTGAGCTCTGCCTTGGGGGGGGAAACAGGGAGATGGGAGAGGTTCTCTGCAGGGGCTGGGGACCAGGCTGGGCTGCACAAGGAGACTGTGGTGGCTGTTGAGCCGCAGGGAGCTGGGCTGAGTCTCCACAGTGGTTCTGCTGACAGCAGCGGCAGCCCCAGTAGGTTTAGAGCCTACCTCGCTTGGGCCTTTCTGGCAAAAGCAATGATGAGATCAGTTCTCCAGAGAGTCAGCACTGTTCTGCATGTATGTGTGTGTGTGTGTGTGCAAGTGCACATGGGGAGGCAGTGTATACAGAGATGTGTGGACTTTGAGCCTCATACAATCACAAGACCTGACCCTGTAATTCCAGGGAAGGGTCTCATGCCTTTTCTTCAATCAAGTCCTCATCTCATTCTCCAGCTCTGAGAACTAGAACCCTGAACCATTTCTTGCACTTGAGTGCTGCCCTTGAAATCCTTCCAGAAGTTCGAATTTCATGACTGGTATGCTGAGAACCAGAGTCAGACTCTAAATGCAGCTCTGTGGCTGTGCCGCCACTGTGACAGACAGGCCTCCTTGCTGTCTGCAGTCTGCCTGGGCTTCTGTGTGTCCCCTGCTCAGAGACCCTTGTCCCAGCCGCTGTCTTCCTGTTGGGGTACCTCTGGGAGTTCTGGAGGAAGGTCCCTGGACCTGCCAGCAGGCTGCAGTCACTACCCATTGACCGTGGCTCCATCCTGCTCCATCCCTTCTCCCTTCCATCCTTGGTCCGGTCACATGCACCTCCCTTTGGCAATAACAGCACCACAGAGCTCACATCTATTTAAGTGGTCTGAGTACCTGTGAGGTTAGGTCTCCCAGACCCTGTCTTTCCTTCTCCATTCTTACCCATATTTTGGTCATCTGTCACCCATGCCAAGCCAGAATATTTACTGGGGTGGTGGGTGGCGGGTAGGGTTAATAGTGGCAGCAGCAGCTAGCAGGAGGGTGGTGGCAGTGATGCGGTTGTAAGAAGGGTTGGAGGACATGCCTTGAGCTTGCATTTGCATTGCATGCATCCTAGTTGTGGTGGGTTTGGGGGCTGAAAAAATATACAGGAGGCTAAAGATACCCATTAGTCCTATCTCTCATCTTAGAAAGAATCAGCAGCATCAATCTTATCTATCAGGGGCCAAATGTTGAGGATGGTTTCATGGTTGCAGCCTCTCTGGGACATCAAGCCAGAAGAACAACCCAAGGAATCCAGCTTTAGATAAGCACAGCTGAAATATTTCCTGTGTCGTTGACCTGTTTGGAAGTTTTAAGCTTGTGTCTGTTGCAGGACATAGCAAGACTGAACTGGCAGCCACCGAACAGTGAGAGACACATGAAGGTCAAGGGTGTTGGAAGAGGCATAGCAATAACAACAGACGGCAGTAGGGCGGTGGCCATACCTGATAGTCGACCTGTGGGAAGAGAAGAAAGGCAGGTTCAGTAACCCAAACAAAACCCCAAAGGTGAGTAGATCCGAGCAGCCTATCCCAGGGCCCTGTGTTCCTTTTTTTTGCACTCAGCCTGTTCCCTGGAACACCCAGGGGGTGAACGGGGACCATCACTCATTCCCTAAGTGAAGCTGCAAGAAAGGAAAGCCAGCGGCTGTAGAGACCTGAAGGGGAAGGAAATCAAGGGTGGGGGAGGTGTTTGAGGAGAGGAGAGTCTTCCTTTATCATCTCAGCTTGGTTACTCTTCACAGCAATGATGATAAAATTGAGAGGAAAAGGTAAATGGTGATGGGGACTGGAGGGAAGACAGAATCTAGATCAAGTGTAAATTCTCCAGCTCTGGAGCTCCAATGAGAAGGAAACTTGTTCTGTCAGATTTCTGTACAGCATGATGGAAGTTTGTTCTCATGTCCCCCACCCCACTGTACCCCAGTGTTTGAAGGGATGTATGCGTGTGTCTGAATGGGGAAATGTCTATGTTCCAGTCTGCCCATGTTGTAGAAGGAAGCACTGAAGATGGAGTCCCATTTTTAAGCCACTTCAGGGTTTAAAAAGTACTTCCATGTAATGTATTGGATTGTCACAGTAAACCCAAGCAGATGGTAGGTTCCTTATTCTATGAGTGTGGAAACTGAGGCCTTGCAGTCTCAGTAGCAGAGGTAAGGATAGAGAAAGCTGTGTTGCTTCCTTTTCAGTTAATACCCACCACCTCCAAGCACCGTATTTCATGTTGGCATGGGCTTCAGTTCTATTCTACTGCTGATCCTCAGCTCCACTTAGGTGTACAGACCATTTGACTTGCCTTCTTCAGACATCTCTGGAGCTCAGGGGTAAGCTGGAAGCGAGGTGGAAAGTCCCAGCCTCGGGGAGGATGAAGCTTGTCCACCCTTCCCTTTTTCCTTTCGGTCTTCTCCCTACCTATTTGCATATCACCCATGTTTGGTTTGATACAAGGCAGAGCCATATTCCCATAGCACTTGGAGGGTCACAAGCCCATGCCAAGGTGGCAGCCCTGTACCCACAATACCACTGGAGCCCTGGAGACTTCAAAGCCTAGTTGCTGCCATTAACATAGCCTATTTCTCAGCAGAATCGTGGAAGGACCCCACAAGTGTCTCTTGAGTTGTCAAGGTCTGAATAGCTCTTTGGTGTTTAGAACCCTCTCAATCAGGATCCTACAAGATCCAATGGGATCTCCAGGGAGCCTGAGGAGCTCATGGGTCTGCACATTGTTGTTGTTTAGTCGCCAAGTCCTGTCTGACTCTTTTCCGACCCCATGGACTGTAGCCCACCAGGCTCCTCTGTCCATGGGATTTCCCAGGCAAGAATACTGGAGTGGGTTGCCATTTACTTCTCCAGGGGATCTTCCTGACCCAGGGATCGAACACGTGTCTCCTGCATTGGCAGGCAGATTCTTTACCACTGAGCCACCTGGGAAGCTGAGGTCTGCATGACCCTTCAGCAAGGCGGGCAGATGAAAAATAAGGCAGTTCTAGTTGAAAAGTAGACAAACGGGCTTGGCAGCATTTAGAAAACAGATATGATTACAATCTTGCTCCTGAACCATAAAGACTGGGCAAATCAGTAAACACAAGGCTGCTACATTGTCTGGCTCTGGGGCAACCTAGAATCATAGATGACAATACAAAGTGCACACACAACTTCTGTGCACTGGGGGCAGCCCCCATATCCTCTCTGGACTTCTCGCATCAGGAAACAGGAGAGTGGGCTGAAATCCTTTTAGTAGCTCTGTCTGGTCCTGAACTGTAAAACTCTGACTGGGTATACCAGATGCCTCATCCCTTCCCAGCCTTTCCCAACTCCGTTTGTTTTGTTTTTCTCAGAGGTGGGGAGCTGGGGGACTTTGAGGTTGAGGGTCCTCTTAGGAGGCATCTGAATCAGTTGGGATCCTTGGCCAAACACAATGGAAACCAATCTAGGGTGGAGTGAGCAAAAAGTCATTTATGGAAAGGAAAGTCACAAGAGTCAATGGGAAATCTAAAGAATGCAGCTTGGACAGTGGGCAGGAATGAAAAGAGGCGGCTACACAGCTGGACACCACCACTGAATCTGACTGCATTGCTGCTCGTGGGCCCAGAGATTTGCTGCAAAGAATCCTTCAGCTGACCCCACGTCCTTTAGTTACTTTCTCAATACTCGAGACCTAGAGTAACCAAGAACATCCGATTGGACAAGCCTGGCCCAACAATCTACTCCTTTGTATCCAAGGGCTGGGAGAGGCAATATTTGACCTCTTTGCTGCAGTGGGAGACCAGGCCCTGCCTAGTCCCCACCCACATGGAAAGGGTTCACATGTACCCAGTGGTGATGAAAAGGACAACTGTCCATGACAGCATCCTTAGATATTCTTTTGATAGTCTCTGCTGGTTTGAGCCACCTCAAAAGTATGGTCTTTTTCATTGATTTCATGCAACTAGAAGTAGAAATGTGCTCAGAGAGAGCATGATCCAAAGGGTTCTCCTCTTTCCAGAACCAGAAGCATTGTTTCTCTTTGAGCCATGAGCATCACCAGAAAGGCACATGCCTATGTCCTGCTGGGGCCTTTGGTCCTGGGGCCACAAGTTCTGGTCTCAGGCACACCCCTGTCAGCATCTTGCTGCACCTTGGGCAGGACATTCATTCTCCCTGACCTGTGACTTCCACATCTATAAAAGCAGGTGTACTAGGGTTTTTGAGACAATTAATGTGAACACGCTTAGAACTCTGAAGTTCTCTATCAGTAAGGCCTTCCTATTAGAGTGAACCACAGCCAGTGCACAAGACTGTTTCAGGACCCAGGAGTTCTGCCTGTCCATGATGGGGGCGGAGGCCCAAGATATGAATATTACCTTAGTCTCAGGTAACATTCCTGGGCTCCTTCCCAAAGATGCCATAATCAGAGCTCCAGCCACACAGATGATGGGTATATTGAAGACCTGAGAAACATCTGGTACCCAGTTCCCAGCTCTGCCATTAACTGTGACCATGTCACTTCACCTCTAACATGGGGACAGAGGATCCCAGTATTAGATGTTTGTGCACTTAATTATCCATGTTTGTGCAGAGAGGCTGCAGGTGTATGCTTTGAGGACCCTTCACTTGATCTTTGGGATGCATTAAATTATTTGGGAAAGGAGAAGGGATCAGGGTGTCAGATTTTCTTTTGTAACTCCTTTATTTTACATGGTAGTTAAAAAAAAAAAAAAAGAATTCCCTGATCATCTACTCACAGTTAGGGTGTGTGCAGGTGAGTATGAGTAGGTGTTGGGAGGAGATGGCCCCTTCAGAACTGAAGGGCTGGCTGGGAGAGCCATGAGAGCGGGGGGGGGGGAAGGTGGGTAGAGACGAAGACCTGACCTTGGATGAGTGGCCAAGCAGATGCTTGTAAGTCAATCATGGAACTTTCACCAGACTTTAGTTTCAGCATGAGATAAAAGTATACCTACCGGATGTATACCCAGGACTGTTTTTTTCCCTTAAACTCCTCCCAGAGTGTAACCAATGATCCTCAAACATTCCTGGGTATATGCAGTCTCCAGAGAGCTCATTATAATTGAAACTTTCAGGCTCTATCCAGGCGGATTAACTGGGACTCAGCAGGTTGGAGGGTGGTCCTGGGAATATGTACTGTTGCAACAGCTGGCCTTGGACCAGATTACTTTTTGAGGAACAAGCGTTAGAGCCACCAGCATACCAGGAAACTGTGACAAGTGACAAGGACAGGAGGTGTGTCCCATTGTACTCTTCTCTCTGTCTCAGGTTTTCCTGTAGATTTATAGACTTGAACCAGGTGAACTCAATTGCCTTTTTGGTTTTATCTCTGAGCCTGTTGCCAAGTGAAATTTCCCAGGCTAGTCAGTTTCTTTCTCCACCCGAGGGGTATGGAAATTTCCCCAAAGGGCAAGCCCTGAAACATACTGCCTTACCTTGAACACATTGTACTTCAGTGGAAATGTGCTGTCTTTTGCCTTTAAATTTTGTGGCCCAATGTTGAAGGACATGATGACATTGTTGTTTTCCATGCTGTCTGGCACAGAGAAGATGTATTGCATGTCCCTCTGGTATCCTGCATGAAAAACAGCAGTGATTGGACCTCAGCTTGTTCCTGGGTTTCTGGGATGGGACCATGACCACTTCAGAGAGCCAAGCCTAGTTCAGTGGGTTGTGGAAGAAACTCTGGATTTGAAGACCTAAGACCAGGGTTCCAGTCCCCAAAGTTACTAGTTGTGGCACAAGCTGCTTTATTTTGTGAGCCTTAGTCTCTTCTTATAAACAAGGAGGGAGAGTATAGTTCTTATGTGGTGAAAATGTTTCTTACATTGTAAAATAGAGGGCTATTTTTATAAAGGGCTTCCCTGGTGGCTCCATGGTAAAGAATTCGCCTGCCAATGCAGGAGATGTGGGTTTGATCCCTGGGTTTGGGAAGATCCCCTGGAGAAGAAAATGGCAATCTACTCCAGTATTCTTGGCTGGGAAATCTCATGGACAGAGAAGCCAGGTGGGCTATAGTCCACGGGGCTGCAAAGAGTCAGACATGACTTACTAAACACAAACAATTTTTGTAATAAGTAGAATTCCAGAGGCCTCAGGTATATATGAGCTTATGCACTGGTGACAACCATGGAGCCATGAAATGATGTCAAACCCCCAGGCACACATAGAGACAGAGGAAGAGAGGCTGAGAGATGTCAATTCATAGAACTCTGCCACCCTAGTGTCCTCACCAAAGCCAGAGGGAGACCACTAATGTGAAAACCGTTAGATCCAAATACATGGGAGATAACATATGAAAAATAAATGAAGATAAATCAAGATAGAGATGAATTAGTAAACATCAGAAGGTTAAGGCACAATTGGGAAGCTCTGAAAGGGAAACAGGGAGACATACATGACCATCACAGTTGTCAGGTTTTTTGTGAGGACCAAAGAAGATGATACACTCAAGTGCACTTAGCAGCACATAGCAGGTGCTGTTGGCTGCCTCCCTGCCCTCTCTCCCTTGTAAGGAATTACTAAAGATGGCACCAATGTATAATTCTGGTTAGTTCCTCGACCCGCATTATATCTAGGGAAGAGGGCTTTAGCCCCAGTTGGGTAGGCGGAGCTCAGGAAGATTAAATCAGTCAACCTGCTGCCCAAGAGTGACTCAGCGACTTCTCAGAATCTGCCCATGGCCTCCTGATGACTAGCTTCTCTGACCAGCAGAGTGAAAAGTCTGGGGGAGGGTGGGTGGTGAGATCATTCAAACACACCATTCTGGGCAGGCTGGTGCCAAGGAGAGGGAATGAGCGTGTCGAGGTGCAAACACACACACATACACACAAATACATTGTTTGCGTAGTCTTTCCTATCCAGGGTGTGTAAGCACACTCGGGTTCATCTTCAGAGGGTGATATTTCACTCATCCATGTCGCAAATGGGGAGCCGAGGAACAGTGAGAGTATGTCACTCACTCCCTTAAAATCTCATCAATAAAATTCATCTTCTAGGAGCCCAAAGACAGGCTCTAAGGCGCCCATCTCTGGGCCCTCAGTACGGTCCTGTGGGCTGCAGGTACCAATCAGCACCAACCAGCAGGAGAAGGAGTGTGCTCCCTGGGGCCTGGATGGGGCTCTGTGGCTTCCAGGGGCAGACAGAGATGACTAATTCCACTGGGAACAGTTAGGGAGACCGAGGACAGACAGACCAGAGCCACAAAGCCAAAGTGTGGCAAAGACAGTGGTTGAACCCAGACCCTGACACATGTCCAGTGTTCTTCTCAGAGCCCTCCAAAAGTCCTGGGTAATCACTGAAGTGCAGTTGGCCCTTGCTAGTCCTGGGAGGGTAGAGGTTAGCAGAAGGGCTGTGGGAAAGCAAGAAGCCAGGGGAGGCACGTCTGAGAGCCTCCCACCCACCCCCTCCAACAATCATTCTGGAGAAACAGTTGTCCCTTTAGGCTGACAAAGTCCGCCCTTTCTCTAGGCTGATGGTCTAGAATCAAGGGCCACTGAGAGCTTAAGCCAGAATAGGACAAGAGCTGGCAGCTTCTCACCTGGTAGAATACTTACTGTCATAGCTACCTTCAGTGTTTCCTGGAATTAAGTGGTCCTTAAACATCATTTGGGACCATCTTTCATGGAGCGTGCTTCCATGGCCCAGGCTGATTGGAACTTGGTTACATATAAACAGGCCGAAGAAGTTATCTCGGAAATCTTGACATGACATCCTGTTTATAAACAGAGACATATTGCTTTAGTGACCACTGGTTTGTCCTTTGGGTGGAGGTCCCCATCACTTTACTGTCCCTTTGCCTGTCAACAACAGTATCCATTGACTTACCACTGTCCTACTCAAAGACCAGAGCCCCATTCTGGTTCATTTGTGGGCAAATACCCTTTGATTTCTCCAGTGGCTGGGACGACAAGTGAAAGTGAAAGTTGCTCAGTCATGTCCGACTCTTTGCGACCCCATGGAATAGTCCATGGAATTCTCCAGGCCAGAATACTGGAGTAGGTAGCTGTTCCCTTCTCCAGGGGATCTTCCCAAACTAGGGATCCAATCCAGGTCTCCAGCAGATTCTTTATCAGCTGAGCCACCAGGGAAACCCAAGGACACAGTCAAATTATGGGGATGACAAGGGCACAGTCAAATTATGGGTTCTGCAGGTCCCTTTCCTGGCCAGCAAGATGGCTGTCAGTCTCTTTCTGTCCTGGGTCCTACACACTGCTAATAAAATCACCTTTCCATAGGCCCTTTGCCAAATATACTATTGAAGTCTTGTGTATGTGTGTGCTCAATCTCTTCACTGTGTCCACCTCTTTGTGACCCCATGGACTGTAGCTCACCAGGCTCCTCTGCCCATGGGATTTTCCAGGCAAGAATACCAGAATGGGTTGTCATTTCCTTCTTCAGGGGATCTTCCTGACGCAGGGATGGAACCCACATCTCCTCTGTCTCCTGCATCACAGGTGGATTCTTTACCACTGAGCCATCTGGGAAGCCCTTATCAGAATACAATGGATTCAACACCTAAAATCATGCCTGTGACTAAAGTTGCAAGACTGGAAAAATTTTTTCCTTCTAATGTATATTTGTCCCTCTGATTCTCAACTACTTAGACCTAGTCTCTTTTTCACACACGCTAAATTTTATTTAAATATGTCACTGAATAAACCAGACAACTCATCAGGGAAATGTCCGTCTTATCCTTTAAAATGTAGGGCTGAGGATGTTTTTTAAATTTTTTAAAATAAAAAAATTTTAAATGTTGTATTAAGGTATAACTTATTAACAATTTTTCAATAGTTTCAGGTGGACAACAAAGGGACTCAATCATATATATACATGTATGTATCTGTTCTCCCCCAACTCCCCTCCAACACCCAGCCTGCCATGTAACTCTGAGTTCCATGTGCTATACAGTAGATCTTTGTTAGTTGTCCATTTTGAATACAGCAGTGTGTACATGACCTTCTCAAACTTCCTAACTATCCCTTGCCCCTGGAAACCATAAAGTTCATTCTCTAAGTCTGTGAGTCTCTTTCTGTTTTGTAAGTTCACTGTATCATTTCTTTTTAGATTCCACATATAAGGGATGTCATATATTTCTCCTTCTCTGCCTGACTTCACTCAGTATGACACTCTCCAGGTCCATCCATGTTTCTGCAAATGGCATTATTTCATTCTTTTTAATGGCTGAGTCATATTCCATTGTATATATGTACCACATCTTCTTTATCTGGCGATACGTTTTAAAGCATCTAGTCTTACATAGCTGGTGGGTGATGACACTGACATCTTACTCAGAACTCTAGAGGGAGGGCTGGGAGGTTAACCTCAAGTTGCTCTTTTATGATTCACGCCAGGAAAGACTGTGGCACTCCAGGGTTCCAAAAAGATGGCAAAGAATTTACATGCTTGATAACCATACATCCTGGTTGCCAGGAAACTGCTGATTTCAAAGCTTTAGTGTCAATCTTCCTTTTCACCATTAACACCTGCTGCAAGTTCTAGTATTTCAGAGCTGAAAGGCCTTTCATGCAAAGAGAGAACACACAATATCTTTTTCAAAGCTTTGGTGTCATGGTGGAGAAAATAAACTCCTTCTATATAGGTCTCTGCAAAGCTAATCCTCATTCTCACAAAAGTTTAGGGAAAGGGTGGGGATTGAGGGTTTGGGCAACAGTTAAAGATTTAAACTATAATAATAATTTTTAAAGTACCAAATAATAAAAATAAAGTACCAAAACTCTCCATTGTCCTTATCCTCATACAGCTGGTTTTTCCGCAGGTTGTGGATTTCCTGCCACTCCGGGGACCTGGGCATGGAGAGACAGACCATAGGATGAGATCTCCTAGGATGTTTCATTTCAACTACACGTGCCCTGACAGGGGCCCTTTGCACAGGCCTCCAGAAGTTTCCAGGTGCGAGTGGACAGTGTCACTCTATCTGACGATTCTTTCTATGCTGATAGCTTCTACACTGTCCCCAGCCTTATCCTCTTTCCTGAGCTTTAGAAGGATACATGCTATGCTTCATCCCTTGTCTCCACCAGAGCCCCACCATGACCTTGAAATCAACCTATCCCAAACCATAGTCACCCACTGCCTTCTCCTATTGCCCAAGTGAGAACATGAAGAGTTATTCTTTCTTGTACCCTCCACATCCAAGCCATCACCAAATATTAATGATGCACTGATTCTACCTTCTAAACCCCTCTCAAAACCATCCAATTATTTCCATCCTTATTGCTGTGTTCAAGTTCAAGAACCCTCATCTCCCTTGTGGACTGGCCTCCCAGAACTCAGCCCTGCCCACTTTCCTATTCATTTTCCACATCTCCAATCAAAACGATCTTTCTAAAGCAGAAGTCTGATTATGGCAGTTCCATAAACACATGAAGCACTGCCCCACTACTCTCAGGACGAAGTTCAAACTCTGAAACAGCACTTGACCTCTGCCCACCTCTCCAGCTTTACCTGAGCAGTGACCTGTTCTCCCTGCCCTTGAACTATACACTCCAACAATAAAGAATATCTTTGTTTCTTAAAAATGCTCGTCTGTTTGGTGGCCGTGGCAGCACCCAACCTCCACCTCACCTTGGCCTTCACCATGATGCTCCCTCTGCCTGGAATACTCCTCCTCTGTTCAGTCCTGAAGCCCAATAACTTCTATCCATTTTTCCTCCTAAAAGATACTTCTGCTGGGAAACCTTCCTTGTCCCCACTGTAGAGCCCCTCCTTTGAGCCAGCTGGACAGGAGTACCACTCCTGTCCCAGTACTTAGCACCCTCTGATACTAGTGCCTGTACATTTCTTGTTGTCCCTCATTAGCCTCCAAGGTCCATGAGATCAGTGGCATTGCTCAGCATTGCATAATATCATCCAACATAGGGCTTGAACACACGCCTTGGCATATAGTAGAATGCCATAGTTTTTTGCTGGCTTAATAAACAATTAAAGCTGTCTGCTTCATTGGGATGATGTGTTCTAGAAGCTAGTCCTAGGGTCTACAGTGAAGGATACTCTTATAGGCAGAAGGGAGTAGCTGTCCCTTCCTTTCCAGCCTGCTCCTCAAAGCAGAGGCATGCTCATAGGCGATGGGCCTCATAGGCACAAAAGTGTAATGAGACCTTTCTCTGGGAGTAACTTGCAGGGTGGGGCTCGGTCACCTCTGAGCCAGGAGAGCAAGGTAGGGACTACTCAGGCTTCTGGCTGCAGGCTGAGCCAGTCAGATGTGTTATTGTAAAATGATAATTTTATAATTAAGTGATAATTACATTTTCTGCAGTGTGTAAGGGAAAATAAATGTAGTGTAAATCAATACGTTATTGATTCATGCAAGTTTGCCTTTAAGTGTGTGTGACTGAAATTTCCATTATGTGTGAGATTAGACTATCAGCGCTCCCGATCTGTCTCCAGCTCTTAAAAACTAGGGAGGGAATTAACCAGCGCACAGGGAAAGTGAGGATGCAGCCATGCCACTTCCTTCCAGCCTGGTCATTGGTGGGAGGTTGTGAACCTCAGCCCTCAGTCATGTGATCCACCAGAGAAGGTGTGGCGGGGTCCACCCCCCATCCCCGCTCTGCATACTTCTCTGCCCTGTTCAAAGGCCTTCATGAACCCTAGGACTCTAGGGCACAAATCTAAACTTCTCAGCTGGCACCAGGCTCCCTGGCTCCAGGTTGTGACACGTCTTTCTCTCTTGTTCCACTGCCCCAGGCCAGCTTCCTGGCCCTTAACACATTGCCAATAAATGTGGCTAGGCACAGCAGCCGACACTTCCCTCCTACCTAGTGATTGCTTCCAAAGTGAGTTATACCTTTTTATTTTTCGGTTGAACTCCATTCAACCCCATCCACCCATCCCTGAATAGACCTGCTGGTGGGAAGTTTCTCTTCCCTCACCTCTGGGGTCCCTAGTTGCCTTCACTGGCCATTTGATCTCTAGCATAGGGACTGTGGCCAGAACATCAGCTCGTGTGAATTTCTTGCCTCTTTTACTCAAGGAGGATGTACTGCAGACACCTTCCCTTCCTCTACTCCTGCTGTTGTGGCCAGCCCCAGTCAGGGATTCTGGCTAATCTGATCACTCTGGCCACAGTGGGCAGCTTGGAGTGATGATTGGGAAGGTGGGGGGAGGGACTTGGTAGCAGCATGGATACCCCTGGGGAAGAAGAAGAGAACAGAGATACAGTAAAAGGAGGGAGGGTGTCAGGGAGCAAAAATACTGTCCAGTGGTTCGTGGTTTTGCAAGTTCATTTCCCTTCTCTTGGGGGAGAGGGGATTAGCTGCCCTTTTTTCAGAGGGTATCTGAGATCACAACAGGTTTACTCTAAGTCAGGTTACCTATTTCCTCTCTCAACCTCTCTCATGGTACTACCCTCCAGCCCCACTTATGTAGGCACCTCAGCTGTTGGGGCTCACACAGCATCCCGGGACCCACACAGGATCACACACCACTCAGCCTGGGGCACAGGGGTCAGGACAGGGAGAAGAGCAACATTGGCCTTTGCCTCCAGAACACACTTCTCCCTGCATTGATGCTCACTGCTTGTTGGGGCCTGTTCTCTTGTGTGCCTGAATGCTTTGCATTTCCTTTTGCATCATCTCTTCCTTGTGCTAAGCTGCCTTGGCCTCTGGACTCTTTCCATGGACTAACACAGGTCCTCAGCGGCCTGTGGATGCACTGGGCCTCACTGGAGGAGAGGAGCCAGTCTGCTGTGGCTGGCCCTCCATCCCCGCTCAGGACTGCTGTGTCATTCTTAGTCAGCAAAGGGGTGGGGACCAGGAATCAGTCCTCCTGGCAGCTGGGAAAGACCAGCCCAGCTCCCCAGGAACCACAGACCACACAGCGGGGGCCACATAGGTCATCTGGGCCAGCGAGCAGCTGCCTGGAACATGGCCACAACTAAGACCCACTTCCCCTCATCACTCCCACCACCAGCAAGGTGAGTCTCGACCGATAGGGCAGGAGAGACAACACAGGTGGACTGAGTCAAAAACTCAGCCAGATCTTTGCCTCAGTTTGCCAACTCCCTCTCTAGAAGAAGGCTTTTCCATCCTGATGACATAGCAGCATCAGGACCCGAATCCCATGGGATGCTTTTATGGGCTGAGGCTCCTGCTCTCCATCTCTGTCTGCCAAGTAGAACCCAGAGTCTGCCCTGCCCCACCCCCTTTTAATTTTTTACTTAATCTAGGTAGTTTATGAGTTCACTACTCTGGTGTCCCACTGGAGGACAGACACTGTCTCTTGTCCCACAGCTCCCATCCGGCACAGTGTACTTAGTACAGAGTACACAGTAGGTGTCTAAACGATGCCTGGTGAATGGCATCATTGGAGTGTGTGATGGACGGACAGTCCCACACAGGTGTGAGCTGGATAGGCCTGCAGGGAGGTCCGCCTGCTGCCCTCGTAGGCCAGGGTGCTCTCGGAACACCAGGTCTCCATGAAGGAGACAGAGAGAGGTTTTCAAGCCATACCGGTCGCTCCAGCGCCCACTCCATTCGATCCTGCCCCAGGGGTTCCACAGGCGGATAAGATACTCCCAGCTCCTCCGGTACTCAATCTGCAAAGAACAGAAAAGGAAAACTGTCAGTGTTCTCCAGCAAAATTTGGCAGAAGGGATATGAATGCAGCTGCTTTTCACCTCCAAGGACTAATTTAACTTCTGACCTCATTTGGCTGCAGCCAGAAGAATAAAATGAAAAGGGAAAAAAATCAATGCTTCTACCCGTGTGGAGTTGGAATGAGATCGAGAAGAAAATGGTCCTTTTTTTTTCTGCGCGGCACCTTGAAGGCAGGTGCAGCTTCCTCATTCCATAAGACTGCATCCTAAAACCTGCGCCAGCTGAGACTGCATGGCAGATAAACACTGAGGCTGGTGCTGCCACGGCTGCAGAGGGGAGATCTTTATGGGTCCCCAGCCTTCTCCATGTCCTGTTGCAGCTGACATCTCTAGTCCACCGAAATAGCTGTTTACTGGCTGGCGGCCCTTTGGGAGCTGTGCTGGGGTCTCCACAGCACTGTCCTGAGCAAGGCCAGGAGAGGAGGCTGATCTGAGCAGGAAGAGAACGCCTAGGGGTTGAGCCCTCCCCCAGCCTGCAGTCGGGGGGCGGGGGCAGGGTGGGGGCGGCACCTGGCTCTGGCAGCTTGTGCTCTGTAGGGGCATCTCCTGAGTGCCCTGAAATCTCCTTCCTTCCTGGGGGCGGTGGAGGTGGGGTTGGGAGGGAGGGGTCACATCATCACCCCTCCCAGATTCGGAGGCCAGCACACCTATTCCTTCAGACCACTGAGGCCAGAGGGCAGGACTGTTTGTTGCAAAGTTAAAACAATCACAACCCTTTGAACTTTTGTTCCTGGATCCAGGAGGCCTCTGCCTGGGGAGAGGAATTAAAGCATGATTGAATTGCAGCTGCGATATTGATCAGTGTTAATGTTGTTGGAAGAGACAGAGGGGTGAGGAAGGGGCGGATTTGTTCACTGATTCCAGGTCAGAGGAGAAAGTTCTGAGTGTAATATTCCCACGTGGAAAAGAAACCTGTGTGTGGAGGCAGGCCCAGAGCCATGCCTGACTGAGCGTATGATGTGTGCTATAGCCTTCAATCCTCCCAGGTAGATGTTCATGTAACCCCTGTCTTGCAGAGGTGGAGAATGAACATCGGAGAAGTTAAACAGCTTTCCCAAGGCCAGAGAGTGAGTGGCAGAGGAGGAATTCTGATTCTCACCATGGTCAGTTTCCAAAGCCCAGGCTCTTAATTTGGGAATTGGGAGTGGATAAAGGATACAGCTGCTCCAGGGCCCAGCTCATTCTTGAATGTGGCTGAGACTTTGACCTTGCATGGAAACCCTGGGCTAGCATGTGATTACCAAAAGGGTGGTGCCATGAAGAAGCAAGGGGCTTCCCTGGTAGCTCAGATGGTAAAGAATCTGACTGCAAGGCAGGAGGCCCAAGTTCGATCCCTGAGTAGGGAAGAGCCCCTGGAGAAGGGTATGGCAACCCACTCCAGTATTTTTGCCTGGAGAATTCCATGGACAGAGGAGCCTGGTGGGCTACAGTCTACAGGACTGCAAAGAGTTGGACACGACTGAGCAACTAACACATATACATGAGAGAGCAATGGGGTCAGACAAGGGCACACGAACCTAACCTGGGTACAGTTTTTTTCTGTCTACTTCTGTGGCTGACACTGCAGTGGAAGGTACTCTGACTTTAAATGCCACATGAGATGGAGGTTCCCCTTCTATGCCCCATTCCCTGGGACCCCAGGCTTTGTATTATTAACTGCCAGCATATGATGGAGCCCATGGAACAGGGATGTGAGAAACAGTATTCTGGTGCCCCCAAAAGTTTAATAAGCCACCCTCAGAGCCTAAAGGACAGTCAGGGGCTCGGGCAGCCACGGAAGAAGAGCAGACAGTGACTGGAAGGGGCTGAGGCAGCGCTAAATGATGCGTGCAGAGAAACACACATCCCCTTTCCCCGGGGAGTCACCGACCCAGCTAGGTACATAGTAAAAAATGCCAGTTTCATTTATCTTCTTGTCTGTGTCCCGCCCAGAGGGAAGATGAGCAGATTAAAAAGCATGCTGCATTTATGGGCTGGTTTAATCTTAGCACTTGTGGTCAGAGTTATAAGCCCCTCTTTCTGGAGGAAGAATCTTTAATCAAGTCCTTGGGTCCTTGTCTGACTGTGTTACTTCTTTCTGACAGGGTTCTGTTATCACATGGGCCTTGGCCAAGTGGCTCAGGGGTCACCTTCAAGGCCAAGGTCACAGCTGCATCTGAGAATGGGCGAGCTTTCTTGCGTCACTCTCCTAGCTACTGACTGTACCCTGACCCTGGTCAGATCTCTCAGAAAGGGGGCCAGTGGGAAGAGGTGATCCAGGTCATCTCTCCTAGGATAATAATTCCTTGAAAGTATCCTCTTGAATGTGAGTTCCATAGGTGGTTAATAGTGACTCCTAGAGAAAATTGTTTCATGGCTAACGGTAGATTAAAACCAAGCTGCACTTATGTTGTTAATACAGGCCTTCTCAGAGCCTTTAAAATGCTAACATCCAAATACTGCTTTCACAGAGCATCTCACCAGGTTGGCACTACTGAGAGCACACGTTGGGAAGTGTCAGTAGCCACAGAATGGCAGGAACGGCGGGAATGGACTGTGCAGAACACACGGTCTTCATCACCTACTGTCACAGGAGAATGTCCTGTTCAGACTGCTCAATGCATTGTAAGAACAACTCAAAGCATGTGCTGTGGGGGAAAGACATGAGGGCTCTGGGCAGCAGCAGCAGGAGCCCAAACCCCAGCTAAACCCACCGTTGGACTCCCCCAGTTCTCCCTGACCTTGCCCTGGAAGTTTACTTGGCTGCTCTGTCACTGCCATCCCCAGGCCCAGCCTTGGCAAAACTCACATTCTACAGCTGTCTGGACCTCTGGATACACAAACTGCCTTCTCCCCTGGGTTCAGAGGAGAAAAAGAGGCAATCTCAATGTATGAAAAGGGCCTTGCCGGGAATGGCCGGCACATCACACAGGTACCACGGCTCTTTCCTTCCAGGTCCAGCACCGATATCACTCATTGATCACAGCTCTCTTTTCCAAGTTTGGAAGCAGAGCCAAAGTCTTGTCAACACAGTTATCTAGGCAGCAGTGCCAGGATCAAGGCTGGCACAGGAGAAAGCCAATTTGTTCTCCCTAGCCTAGACTGTCCACATCTGGGATGGGGAGCTTTGGGAGAACAGAGCATCCATCCGTGGTCAGATGTGATGATGGTGCTGACTGTCTCCACTGAGAATTCAGAGAAGGGCATGGCCAATTCCAGATGAAGTGCATTGAAGCCATTGGGACTGGGATCTCCTGTGGCCTGGGTTTGTCAGGGCCTCTTCCTTGCTTCTGAGACATATTTGAGCTCCTCACATACGTTCTATGATGGAGGATCCGTGATGTCATTTTCACAGCCTGAGGACAAATGTGTTGATTCACTCAGGCAAGTGCCCACAACCATTGATCCAAGAGCATCTATTAGGTGCCTACTCTCCTCCAGGTGCTGTGCAGAGGAAGCATTTTGGTACTGATTTCCTTAGGGAGGCAGACAGGAGGACAGGAGACAGAAGATATTGCCTCTGTTTTGCAGATTGGAACATTCTCCCAAACACAAAACAGTGGAGCAACTGGCCTTTGGTCAATGGACAAGAGAGACAGATTGGCACAGGGAAGGGAGATACGAGGAACAAGGCAGAAATAGAAGCTGATGCTTTGCATTCCTTGCTCCATAAATACATGTGAAAAATGGACCCTGGAGTTTGTAACTCTGTTTCTTAGGGCCTAGAAAACATTATCAGACCTCAAGAGCTGTGAGAAATACAGGGATCATGGTGGGGGAGGCATTTGTGGGAAATCATCACAAGGCCAGGAAGGATGGTCCCTGCATGTCTGCGTGATGAGCATAGATGGGAAATGAGGAGACATGGTGTCTGAGCCCAGCCACTGCAAGCAGCTATGCAACCCTGACCTTCCCCTCTCAGGCCTCGGCTTCTCATTTATGAATGGAGGAGGCTGGACTTAAGTCATGTTTTCCATAATAAATGCTACTGCACACACTGGTGACATGCATTTTTGTCCACCCCAAGTTGGTTTGTTGCACTGGGGAGAAAGACTGTCCCCCAAGAGGCACCCTCCACTCTTTTGTGGGAATAAAGTTCTAGCTGGGCATATGGCAGCCCTACCAGGTATGTTTTCCAGATACCCTTGGGCCTCAGGGTGGCCCGATTAGGTCCAGACTCATGGGATCTGAGAGGACACAGTGTGTGCCTGATTGACACGTGGCTTCCAAATGGGTGTGTAAGTGTCCCTGGCCTCTTTCTTCTCCCCAGGCTGGGAAATGAGGAGACCAGAGGCAGCTGCCCTGGGCTCACAGGTAGAAGCCCCATGTTACAGATGGCAGGGCCACCTACCAGCTCTGGAATCGCCTGCTCACCGAGACATGAACTTGATCTTGTTTGAGCCCCTATATTTTGGAGAGTCTTTGTCATAGTTAAGTTGATATGTAGCAAATAAAACCCTTTAGGGGCAAACTCTCCTCCAAAGTCAATTGGGTAGCTATTCTGCTTTCTTTTGGGGCTAATCCCCCAACCTGGCTAAACACTCAGCCTCGCTGAGGTCATTTAAGGAGAGTAAGATCTCTGGTTGGGGTTGGGGGGGTGTCCCTGAGGGATGGGGATACCAGATGCCAGAACTTTGGGATGAATAGAGGGAATGAGGTTGTCCATGATGGGCCTGGACAAAGTGGAGGCAAGAGTGATCAGTACCTGTTCAGCTTTGCTGGGCTCAATTCGACATGTGATTTTGATTCCTGCTTAGGGGAGCAAGAACCCTGGGGCACTGTGTCCACAGGGAGCCTTACCTGCTCAGCACCAGTCACTGTGTAGGCATGCTGGCTCACCAGTCCATTTGCCATCCTCATGGACTCGCCTGTGGGCTTCAAAGGAGGGAAGCAGACCAAGCATTAAACACTTATATGTTCTTCAAAAAAAACCCAGAAAAGCACAATTCACTCAGCAGCTGAGCTGGGGCTAGATGACAAGCCTCCCCCTGACTCACGCTGGAACGCCATGTGTTCCTGGATCTCTTTCCTAGAGAGGCGGAGTTTGAAGGCTGTAGGGTGTCCGAGGCCCCAGCATTTCATACCTCAGGAGACCACCCTTGACAGACAGAAGCCCACTGGGTCCCGAGGACCTGGGCTGCTTGCTTTTCTCTAATGGCTTGTTATCAACGAGACATATCCCAACACGTATCTTCTGGGCATTTTGTGGGAGTCGGGAAGACCTGCCACCTCCAGGCTGTGAGGAATTGGGATTTAAAGTGCATTTTGGCTTCAGGTGGCGTTTCAGACCAGGGGTGTGTGACTCAAAAGCCCACATGGTTAAAGAGTGAAGGAAGGATCCACAGGGATAGGGCACTGGCTGCCTTGGAACAGAATCAGATAATTTGGAGGATAGCCAAGCTTTTCAGAATGGGTCATGCTGCCTTTGGGGTGCTGCCTTTAGAGCCAGTGAGAGTCAAAGGGCCTCCCCTGATCACTCTGAACCCCACTGCTCCTGGTCACAGAAAGCAGTAGGCAAAGGCTTCAGCATCAGACCACAGCACTTGAAGCCCTGCTCAGCCACTTACTCTGGGGTGAGATCCCCGATCCACTCACCCTGGCCAGGGTGCCGCAGGTCATCAGAGAGCCTGCCTCCGCTGCCGTCTTCACCATCGTCATCAGGTCAGGCGAGGACAAGTGCAGGCTGACGTTAGTAACCACCCCTCCCGTGAGGTCCACCAGGGCATCGGGGAGGTAGCCATAGTGCAGGTTGGCATAGGACCCATGAAACCTGGGAAAGAGGAAGGCAGATCAACCCCAGTGGTATCTCTGTGCCTCCAGGAAGGGAGATAGCACACTGGACTTCTGTGTATTTTCCAGGGGAAGGATTTACCAACCACCCCCTGACTGTGGCCATCTGCCCAGCTTCTGTACTCCTGGATAAGGATTCTAGCAATGTGCCACCCTTATCGCTTCCTTCTCCTGGTCCCCTGGGAAGTCTCACAGGTGGCAGCATTATATAGAGGTTAGGAATGCAGGTGCTGGGGCCTCAGGCCAAGGGTCAAACCCCAATCTCCCCAGATATTTAACTGCTTGACCTTAGAAAGTTACTTAATCTCCTAAAGCTGGGCTTCACATAGTGCCTGGCACATGAAAACCCTTTAATAAAGACCGGCTGTTAATACAATGAGGATCCACTGTTTCCTGTTTAACAACAGTGGTAAGTACTGGCTGTGTGCAGGGTACCTTGTATTCAAAGACGGGTGAGACCTCTGCCCTCCAAGAGACCACAGTCAACAACTCTGATGACCTCTGTGACCATAAGCAGCCTTAGTACTTACTCTTGTGTGAAGCTTGATGCAGAATGCCCCTTTCCATCCTCAGAACTAGCCCTCCTCCCACTCCAAGAATCATCAGGGAGGTGATGTCACTGAAGGTAACAGAGGTGAGGATGAGGCTTCCATACACATCCCCAAAGCAAACCACCTAAACTCTCAGACCTGTGCTCCAAAGTGCCTCTTCCCACCTTCTCATGGGGTTTCTGTTTCAGGACCCACACCCCAAGAAAAGCCCAGCTTTATTGCCCCTATCTTGCCTTCCTCCCAATTTTCTCCCAATTACCTACTGGTGAGGCAGACAGTCTCCAGATTCAAGAGCCAATCTGCTTGGGCCGACTCCTGGCCTCCCCTGTCATGATGTCTCAGGCTCGGGCAGGAGGCTGAGCTTCTCAAGGCCCCCTCTGCTCATCTAGGGAATGGGCTCTTGCAGCGGTGCTGCCAGTAAAGCATACACAGCATGTGGAGAGGGTCTGGCTCACGGAGGTGTGCTTCCTGTGGGCACAATCGGGACAGCAAGTCCCTGCTTCTACTGTCCCCTTGAACATCAGCACTCGCCACCGAGAAGCTCTCCCCTTCAAAGGACATGTCAGGTTGCTTGGACTTCCTCGGGTGTCTGTTAACTATGAGAGTGCGTGGATCAACTTGGAACAGAGAGGAAGTGATTGGGGGTTCTGGGAAAGTTTCTGAGAAGGGGCACAACTCTGAACTAAGTTTTATCCAAGTAAGGCTATTGTTTTTCCAGTAGTCATGTCCGGATGCGAGAATTGGACCATAAAGAAGGCTGAGCACTGAAGAATTGACGCCTTCAAATTGTGGTGTTGGAGAAGATTCTTTAGAGTCCCTTGGGCTACGAGGAGATCAAACCAGTCAATTCTAGAGGAAATCAACCTTGAATATTCATTGGAAGGACTGATATCAAAGCTCCAATACTCTGACCATCTGAAGCAAAGAGCTGACTCATTGAGAAAGACCCTGACGCTGGGAAAGATTGAGAGTAAGAGAAGGGAGCGGCAGAGGATGAGATGGTTGGATGGCATCATTGACTCAATGGACATGAGTTTGAGCAAGCTCCAGGAGTTGGTGATGGACAGGGAAGCCTGGCGTGCTGCAGTCCATGGGGTTACAAAGAGTCAGACATGACTGAGTGACTAAACAACAAGGACAGTGGGACAGATACTCTGGGGAGGAAGAACAAATCAGGAGGCTCTGGAGCCAGAAGAGCGTAGTGGAGTGGGGCCAATGATGGACTGACTGGTGCTCCTGGGAGAGGCAAGATTGATAGATCACAGGGAAAGCCTACAGCAGGGGCCGGGCAGATGAGGTCACATTTGATTTGAGAACTCAAGTTCCTGTCAATAGGGTGACCTGGAAAAGTTACTGTGGGGTCCTAAAATACAGGCAGGGCAAACCCACAACAACATGGAGGTGAGCTGGGCCCGGTGGGAGACCCTGCCTCCTAGCGTCAAAGCTATCTGGTGGGCATGTTCCCCACCACTGCCTGGTCACTTGGGCTCTGGCCAGGGACTTCAGCTCTCCTGTCCCTGATGAGCAAACAGTGGCCAAGCCCCTCCCAGAGAAAGCACTGGCCTTGGCTTGCTTTCTGGTGATGACCACGTGGAGGTCAGGCATGGGTCCATTCTGCTGCTGCCTCTACTGGGGCCCATGGCCTCAGATAAGACCCCTTCCAGTCCTCAGCCTTTCACCCGGATCTGCTCTGGGGCCCCTCACACATCCTTCTCTCATCATACTTCCAAGTCTGCCATTCTCTTCCCCTGAGACCCCCAAAATTCACATAAATCCACCCCAGCAAACACAGATCAAGCAGCTGCTCTCAGCAGGCCAGTGTCTCAGGTACAAACACCATGGATGCTGAGAAAGCCTTGTATTAATGAAAGTGAAGGACCCACAGAACCCAAGGGCCATTCTACAGGAACCAGACGACAGACAGCTCTCGACCTGTTATTAAACTGGTTCTAAATCTTATCTCCCTCTCTCTGACCGGGGTTATGTTTGGTATTAGACTCTTATCTCTGTGATGTTTGCTGAGTCAACTGCAAAGCTTCCCTTTGGTCATGATTGTGCCCAGGTGGGTCTCAGCATATCTGACTCACTTGATTTTCCACATGTTTTCAGGCTCTGGGTCATAAATTAAGAGGGTGCTGAGAGTGCCAGAAGGTCACCAAGACCAGTGAACCAGTGAAGTTGCTCAGTTGTGTCCGACTCCTAGCAATCCCACGGACTGTAGCCTACCAGTCTTCTCCATCCATGGAATTTTCCAGGCAGGAGTACTGAAGTGGGTTGCCCTTTCCTTCTCCAGGGGATCTTCCCGATCCAGGGATCGAACCCAGGTATCCCACATTGCAGGCAGATGGTTTACCGTCTGAGCTCCGGGGAAGCCCAAGACCAGGGTTCTAGAATCTATTCCAGAGCCCACCAGCATGACCCACCTCCCTTGCTGCCACGCCCCCTTCTGGCTTCAAATAGAACTGCACCAGAGCCACACCAGGAAGGCCCTGCTGGCTCTGTCCCACCACTCCAGGGCCACAGCCTCAGTGTCTACAGGCCTCCTCTTATTTTCTGGGCTTCATTCTCAAATGCTAACGTCCAGCTCTTCCTGACACTGGAAATGAGAAACAGCATCAGTTAGGTACAAGGTGTCTCAAAAGAAACAATGTACAAAAACAGTACTTGCAATGCACCCTCCAGAAGGACAGGGACTGGTGGTGGTCTGTAGGGTTGTAACCATTTCTTAGGGCCCAAGAATGGATGGTCCGGGGTCTTCAGCCTTGCCAAATAATGTCACCTGATCACATGATCAAAGACCTCAGTAGACTCAGGCTAATCACTTGTACCTGCCATCACATCACTATTTGGAGTCTTGGCTTCCCCATTCATCACATGAAGCGTTGGTTAGGAAGATCTTTGGGGAACTAGATTCCAGACCACTCTCCACTACTCATTTTCTCCTGAAATGTGTGGTCCCCTGGCCTTCTGTCTCCTAATATTGATTCCTAGCTGTGATGAGTCCCTCACCTGTGTGGGTCTTGATGCGAGCAACCTCTTACACACACATGATTCTTGTATCTGTTGTCAGCACCCTACCCTCCGCAGCCACCACAGAGACACCAGATGAAAGGGCAAGGACCCGCGGCCAGCAGCCCCCTCTCGGGGTCGTCCACAGCCTCCTCTCGCTATGTCTCCCTGATGCCTATGTAGCCTGTCCCAGCAGTGGCTGGGTGTTTAGACAAAGCGCTCTCTCTCTCTGCTTTACAGACACGAGCTCACGGATCCTGCTTGTGTTTCAGGGACATGGCAGCTCTTCTCAGCCTCCTTGGCTGACAGGAAATAGAAAGGGAGGGAAAGACAAGAGAGCGCTGCATTTGCCACACCTGTCACTACGTCTGTCACCTGGACCCAGGAATTCTGAGAGAGCCTTGTTCTCACCCCTCAGCTTCAGCCTTATTTTGGGAAAACGTCTCTCTGCCTGACAATGATAGGAGAGAGGGAAGAATTCAGATGTCAAATCGGATCCAGGAAAGATGCTGAAAGGCTATAATTCTGAGTCGCAGAGATCCCAGAAAGGATGCTAGGCAGCCTACCAGATTTTGTACCCCACTCTCCTGTTTTGTGACCTCTGAGGAAAAAAGCCAGGCAAATATATATTTTTCCCCCTCCACATCTGACTCACTTGACCAGTTCATTTCTAGACTCCCCAGCTGCAACAGTGTTTCAAGTCTGGAATCCAAGTGTTCATTCAGTATTGTCCACACCGGGGGAGGGAAAGAGGACCATCTCCACTCAGACATGTGCGTTCTCCATGCTTATTCTGCGATTCTTATGGGCCAGATACTGAAGCAAAAGACAAATCCTTTTCCTCTAGGACTGGCAGTGTCAAGGGATGATGGACAGGCATGTGACTGGGGAGGACATATCTGATCCCAGCTTGGCCTCAAACACTGTGTGACCCTGGGCAAGTCATTTTATCCCCGCACCAGCCTTGGTTTCCTCATCTTTCAGAGAAGGTAGGGTTTGATGCTGACAATGGCTCTGTCTAGCTCTGATGTACTTTATTTGATTTCTTCTACATTCTACAAACCCCTTCTTTGGATGGAGGGAAAAGCTTTTAAATAGCTTTGGAGTTTGCAACATTTTCTCCTGCTCTAGATTTCTTCAGGGATGCAGTGTGGATTCCGAGTCCAGTTTCCCATTTCTTTTCAAGTTGAATGGCTGCTTTAGGTCAGTTGTTGACAAAATGGGGTCAAAGTCATCACATAATTTGCGAGCTCTCTAATTCTCCAAGTGAACCACCTTGCTCCCCCCTTTCAATAAAGAAAGAAAAAAAAAAAATGAAGCCCTGGAGTGGTGAGCGATGAATCCACCCAAGAATGATAATGGCAGTATTTGCATAAGAAGCTTAGAAGTGAATTAACCTCCCAAAACATATGGATTGTTTCAACCACCTGGGTTGTTTTCTGGGCATCATTCTCAAATGTTAATGTTCAGCTCTTCCTGACACTGGAAATGAGCAACAGCTTTAGTTTTGAACAAGCTGACTCAAAAGAAATGATGTATAAAAAGAGTGCTAGCTATGTGCCCTTCAGAAGGACAGGGTCTGTAGGGTGGTGGTCTGTAGGGTTGTAACCATTTCTCAGAGCCCGAGACTGGACAAGGTGGGGTCTTCAGTCTTGCCAAATAATGTCACCTGATCAAATGACCAAAGACCTCAGTAGACTCAGGTTAATCACTTACACCTGCCATCACATCACTATTCGGAGTCTTGGCTTCTCCATTCATCATATGAAGGACTGGTTGGAAAGATCCTTGGGGAACTAGATTCCAGAACACTCTCCACTACTCATTTTCTCCTGAAATGTGTGGTCCCCTGGCCTTCTGTCTCCTAATATTGATTCCTAGCTGTAATGTGTCCCTCACCTGTGTGGGTCTTGATGCTAGCAACCTCTTACACACACATGACACTTGCATACCCCACCTGGGCCAGCCTGAGCGTCTCTATTACAGCATACAGTGCAGTGCCTAGACTTTGACTAAAGGCGCAATAAACATCTGTTCAATAAAATCAACACAAATTGTGCAAGTGAAGCACGCAACTTGGGGAGTTTATAGGTCCTTCAGCTTGTGAACCCCAGAAAATAGTCCTTGACACAGGGTGTTTAGACCATATAATAATAAGCAGCTCCTGCCCTGCCCCCCACACATAAATCTAATTTCACAGTATCCACACCAGGCCCCAGACTGTCCTGCCGGGGTTGCTGCTCATATCATTCCCATTGTTGGGGATGTCCATGCCCCCATATCCCCTCTCCCCCTTCTGAAATCTCACCTATCCTTTAAGACCTCGCTCACCGCCACTTCCACTGTGCAGCCTCAGCTGACTCTCTGTGAGTCAGAGAGTCAGAACTACTGTCTCTCTTCTTTGCCCTCTCAGCAGACTTTGACCATAATATTGTATTTTATTTGTGCCTGAGCACCAGCCCCTAAAATAATACCACTGTCAGTCCCTATCTCTGTCCAGCTTTGCCCTGCCCATCCCTCGCTATGTGCCTCTGGGTCCCTCCCAATGGTGTGTGTCTAACACAGCCTTGCACATGTGGTTATTTATATAGGATGTCCCATGAGGTGGCAAAGGCTCTGAGGCTCCCAGGGGCATTGCTTGAATTGAGCAGAGCTGCCGAAAGTCTCAGGACTGACTGGTGGGGAGCAGCTGTCAGGGCTAGTGGCTGGGCAGGCAGGGCCAGTATCCAGGCCCCAGGCATAGGGACAGGCCCATCCTTACTTGGCGTAGGCCTTCTCCAGCAGGCACGGCCAAAACTCTCGCTCATTGCGAGGTTTGACGAAGAGGTACTCGTTGTTCAGGACAGGTAGGCGATCGTCAATGACCACTTCCACCCACTGGCCACACCGCCAGAACTGGAAGAGAGAGAGCAAAATATATGCCTTAGTAGAGCTGGGGCAGGAGGGAGGTGCTGACCCCCCAGCCCAGGCCAAAAGACTACCACCATTGCCACATCGCACCACAGCGCAACAAGTCTATGCAGATCAAAATCGCAGCCCAGGTTGGCAAACAGGGGACATGCCTGTCATCTCCACTGACAGGTGAGTCACAGGTCAAGTTAATCAAGGAAAACACAGGCAGGGAGGAAGGCGTCTCGGGTCTACCTGGACTTTGCTACTAATTCCTGCCTCACTTTGGCACGTCCTTGGTGAGCTTCAGACACGCGAGATGCTCCGGGTACATCTTGTGTACAGAATGGGAGCAGATGCTGATAGCAGAGGAGAATGGGTGACTGGGAGTGTCCTGACGGGCAAGGAGAGCCTTCGGGGAGCTGGCGGCCCGAGGGAAGACGGGCAGGGCTCCTGCAGGTGGCAAGGAGGCGGGAAAGCATCCCAGATGATAGCCACGGAGTGGGCAGGGCCCGGAGGCCGCCACACACAAGGCGGCTGGGGAGGACTGAGCAGTTTCAGCCTCACCCTGGCCCTCCTCTCCTCACGTCCAGCTGGCCCTGCCATCAGAGCAGCAGCAATGAAGCGGGCTGGCACTGCTGCCGCCAAGAGCGCAAACGAACCAGATGTTCCTCTCCAAAACAGACTGGTTTAATCTTCAGCATTCAACTCTTAATGGTTCACCCAGGGACACTGCCAAATGACAAAAATGCATAACAAAAGCCAGCTCTTTGGAGTTTGTTTGCTGGTCTCTGGATCAGCAACGGGGCTTCTGGTCTTAGGCCTGAGTCTTGAGGCAGGCAAGCCTCCGACAGCAGGGCTCAGGGTAAGGCCGGGTGGATGGGATCCATCACCTGCTCATGGGGGAGCCATCCACGTGGCCTTGTCCACAGCTGAATGTCCCCAGTGTTGGACTGTTGTACCCATGTGAGGATGCATTATCGAAGTCGAGATGGAGACCAAGACAGAAATGTCAGGGGAGACAAAACAAAGAAGGTGTTCTTGCAGTCTTTAATGAACCAGTCCACTGGAGCTGGTGTTCTCACAGCTGTGGGTCCGCGTCCCCACCGCAGTCAGACGCACAGGTGGGTGAAGTGGGGAGCCAACAGAGATGCTATTATAGTGAGATCATTGAACATGTCTGAAGCTCCAAGGAAGCTAACCCTGGCTCCTGGATGGAAGGTACCAGAAGGACAGACCCATTTGAGTTTAATTGCACAGCAAAGTGTAGGAGCCAGTGTCCAGTCAGTGGAACCATGCTCCAGGCCTAGTTCTGTCCTGAGCAATAGCTATTGGATAAGATACTTGATTCTCTGTGACTCAGTTTCCTCATCTGTCAAATGGTGGTAAGAGTAACAACTACCTCACACTGTGACTGGGATCAGGTGAGACTGTGAGAGTGGGATCACAGTTATGACAGAAGGAACTGTTTTTTCAATAGCTTTTTTGTTTAGCACCTAGGATAGTGCCCAGCACACAGTAGGCCATCAAGAATGAGTGAGTCCTGGCTTGAATGAGTCCCTCCGGCTGGTTCCACCCTCACTCTAACCTTCCCTAGCCAGTAGAGCTGACCAGACTTGCTCTCCCAACACAAAGGGAACCTCAGATAAGATCATTGTTCCCAGAAAGGATGCAAATGGCCTGATGAAAATGGGGTGGTCAAGAATGAGGTCAGTGATCTGTGTTTCCTAGTTCACTTCTCTGGATGAGGAGGGCTGGCCCCTAGATAATGTCTGCACCCTTTAACAAGCAGCCTGGGCCATCTGACCAACACAGATCAGGTATCTGCAGGAAACCAGAAGCGTTTTAGGCAAAGAATCCGAGTTGCCCAGATACAGGGCTCTTTCCTGAGAACCATGCCCAGACTCAGAAAGAACAGATGTACAGAGGTCAGCACTGAAGCTATTTCTGGAGAACCGTGGGACTTTCTTCACCTTCCAGAAGGGCAGAGCATACCCTGCCTAGACCTCAATTTGTCCTAACCACCTGTCTCTCCACCACTTGTAGCTTTGAGGTGAGCCTGGACACAAGCTAAACCCTGCCCCCTCTGGCTAACTTCTCAGTGTGATCCTTGGACCAGTAATATCAGCATCATCTGTTAGAAGACCTAGCATGCAAATAATTGGACATCAGGAAGAGAAAACAGGATAAAGGAGAATGCCCAGAAAAAAACTGGAAGGAAACAGCTGAGCAGAAAAAGGAGGCAGGTCTTCAGAAGGAAAGGGCTCACTGAATTCCAGGCAAGATTATTCTTCAAAAGGACACAGACATAGAGAACAGACTTATGGCCACAGGGGGTGGAGGAGGAAGGAGAAGGTGGGATGTATGGAAAGAGTAACACAGAAACATATACATTATTACATGTAAAATAGTCAATAGGAATTTGCTGTATGACCCAGGGAACTTAAACCAGGGCTCTGTAACAACCTAGAGGAGTGAGATGGGGAGGAAGGTGACATAAGTATACCTATGGCTGATTCATGTTGATGTTCAGCAGAAACCAACAGAATACTGTAATTATCCTTCAATTAAAAATAAATACATTTAATTATAAAAAAGTCATACATCTGGACATATTCTAAATAAATTTCTCAACCAAGGAGAGAGAGTGCCTCATAGAAATTTGCAATTTGAAAGAATGTATTGCATACAAGGTCAAGAAAATAGATTGGATATTTCTTCTGCAACATTGGAGGAGCTATAAGACAATGGAAAAATGTTTACAGATTTTTGAGAAAAAGGAATGTAATCCAAAAATCCTAAACCCAACTGAAATATTGTTTTTAGGAAAGAGCAAGTGAAAAAATGTAATCTGAGGAAACTATTCAAGGAATTACTCCTACCAAATGATAATGAAGTTAGAACAAAAATCCTAAGGGGAAACAAAGGCTGAAGGAAACAATGGCGAATAATGAGTTTTGAATATGCTTTGGACAAGAAACATACTTGTAACACAGTGAAAGTAAAATTGATAGTGAAAGGATGAGCAAAAATATAACAGGGAAATGTAAGTAATAGGAATCTAGAATAGCAATGTTAAAATCAGATGAGGAAGAAGTCAAGGTTAGAAGCTTCATACATAACAAAGAGGGATATTGTGTAAGTTTTATTCTAACAACTGAAGAGCAAAAACATAATTATTTGGGTACAAAGGAATAGAGCAAGAAAACTATAAAGTCAGAACATAAAAGGAACCCTCCAAACTATAACTTTGGGAAAGAACTTTAATTCACTTCTTTTAGAATATGACAAATCAAACAGACAAAAAATAAGCCAAAACAAAAGAGATAATTGCAGATTATGTAATCTGTAAATCAGAGAACTTGATTGCATATATTAAACTTATGACCATTGGATAATATATTAAAAATATATATATAGCAAAGAGATTGATAAAGTAGTCTTAACCACAAATTAGAGGAAATTAAATAAATTTCCATAGACTTAAATAAGCAATTTTGGGGCAATGCATTTAGAACTATAGAAAAAATTGTTGATTCTCCCAGCAAAATATAAATTCAAGAATTAACTCCAGAAGAAATAAGAGGCCCAATCAGATCAATAGCGATTGAACACATTGGAAGAGTTAAAGAAATCATATTTTAAAAGGAGATAGGTCCAGACAATTAAACAATTGTCTATTTCATTTGCAAAGAACAGATAATCAATGATTAACAACCATTAAACAAATTATTTCAGATCAAAGTAAATCTCAATCTGCTCATATTAAAAAGCTAGTATAACTCCAAAGAAAAACAACGAAAATCTGGAATCCAATTATACATGTGACATAGATGCAAAAATGCTAATAAATTTTTAGCACATTGAATCCAACAGTGGATTAAAAGAATGGCATACCAAGAAAGTATGCCACTAAAATCAAGAGAAGGCAGAATTTGCTCTTGTCACCTCATTCAAAATTACAGTCTTCTAGTTAATACAGCAAAACAAAATAACTCTATAAATATTAAAAGACAAAAGTATCTTTATTTGTGGATAATATTAGACAACTAAAAAATATCCAGACATTAATAAAGAAAAAATTAGAATTTGATAAGGTGGCTAGATAAAAATTAATATTAAAAAAGGACTAGCATTCTCTTTTCATCAACATATAGTTAGAAAAATCATTCACGTTAACTACAAAATTGTAAAATATCTGAGAATACATTTATCAAGAAGGGTATATCCAACTAATAAAAATAAATGGGAAAACAAAAAAAAAAAAAGAAGGGTATAGAAGGAATATCAAAACAAAACTATAACATTTTATTGAAGGACATAAAATGAGTTCTAGATAAATGGAAAGATATACTGTGCTTTTGGAAAGGAATAATTACAATAATAAAAATGTGATTTTTCCAAATTAATACATAAATTTAAAGCTACTCTATTCTGCTTCATGGTGGCTTTTCTTTTTAATTAGATGCAATGATTTAAAAATTCTCACAGAAGAATAAATGTGCAAGAATCAACAAGATAAAGTATTTTCGAGGGAAAGATACTGAATAATGAAGAACTTATGCCACCAGCTGTTACAACTCAGTCTGACGCTACTGTAATCAAAACAACAGGGTGTGGCACAGAGACAGACAGACAAAATCTCAATGATGTACAGGGTCTTTGATCAATAATTCTTTTCTTTGGCTGATTGTTTCTGCCATACTTTTTATTGGGTTGCCCAAAATGTTCATTCAGATCTTTCCATAAGACGCTATGGAAAAACCCAAATGAACTTTTTGGCCAACCCAATATTTACACGAAAACATTTTAATTCTTATCTTCCCTATGTGTTGTCAGATCCTGAGTTCAAATCCTTTTGAGGAGCTAACACACATTAACTAACACTTAAGTGTCTCTCCCACATCTCAGGCTGCTAAACCAAGAGAAAGTTCAAGACAGTTGCCTCCTTAGGCTCACAGAGAATCCCATTTAAGGAGCATCCCAGCAGCATACTTACCCGAAAATGGAAAATCCCCGCATACTGGTTTGAAAAACTTTGGTTTATTAGGATCTTCTGCAGATACTGTGGACTCTGTGTCAAGGCCCCCAGTGCTGCCAGGAACCAGCAGTCTCCTGGAGGGGAGGGGGACATAAGTCGTGAGATGCTGTTTGGACCCACCTGGAAGCCCCACCCCATGCGCTGCTCAGAGTTGGCGTACCTCCTTCCGAATAATGCTTTTTTTTTTTTCCTGTCTGAGAGAGGAGAACTGGGGGGAAGATTCACCAGGGTCAGTTCCAAGCAAGATAGAGGTGATGGTGGTAGTTATGGAGATAGTGGTGGGGACAGGGGTGGAGTAGTGATAGGGATGGTGGTGTTGGTGCTGCTATGATGCTGATGGAAGTGCAGTCAGGAGAGCCCCAGCCAAGCTGATGGGCCAACTTGCCTTCTGATTCTCGTTTGGCCCAAGGTGCCCAGAACCAAAGTTACAGCAAATTTTGTTGCCAGCATCGGTGGCAATTGTCCGCTCTAAAATTGGGGAGAACAGATTTCGGTTTTTCTTTACTAATATTTACTCAGTCCCTCCTGGTGTTGGGGCCTTCCAGCCCAAATCCTGTTTCTCCCCTCTTCCCTCTTGAGGGAACATGGCTTTGAGTTTCTCCTTGAAGGTCGCTGTGAGCCCTTTTGAGCAAGCTCACCCCCTTCTCCTGAGTCTTCTCTCCACCTTCACACAATGGCCTGAATGCCCTTTCAAGTCAGGCATGCTGCTGGGTGCACAAGCCACAGGGATGCCCTGGGAGAGATCCCTTCTCCTGTCAGGAGGGAGACTACTGGCTGGAGGGGACTTTCTCCAACACAGACAGCAAAGCCAGGCAGGCTTTTATCAAATTCACCAGGTGAAGTCCAAGTGCCAGGGCATTAACTGGAAAGTGACATTCTAAGGACATAGAGCCTGCTCTCAGAAGGGTTGTGTCTTATTTATTTATTTGGCTGCACTGGGTCTTAGTCTGGCTTGTGGGATATAGTTCGCTGACCAGAAATCGAACCTGGGCCCCCTGCATGGAAACAAAGAGCCCTAGCCACTGAACCACCAGGGGAGTCCCAAGGGTTGTATCTTATTTTGCGATGTCTCTGGGCTCCATGCCTACTTGCCCACCCCAAGGAGTCTCACCCCCCACTCCTAGGGTTCTTGCTCAGGGGTGTTGCATGGCCACACCTGCTACTGCCCATGGGCCTCCCTTCTCCTGCCACACTCCTCAGGTCTCAGCAACAACTCCAGTTGGGTCCAGTGGGTTGGAGGGAATCACACAGCCCTAGATTCAAACTCAACTCTGTCATGTATTGCTTTTGTGAAATGAAAGACACTATTGTGTCCCTTGGACCCCTAGCTTCTGCATATATAAAATGAGGATGTTTCAGGGTTAATGAACTATTTCATGCAAAGTATCTAGCAAAGCCTTGCAGAAGTTCAGTAAACATTTACTTCCCTCTACTCAGGGCTCAGACTGAACTCTGTGTATATTTTCTCCTTTTCTTTGACAATTCCTCTCCCTAAAGGGCTCTGCACACCCACTGCTAAGCTGATTTGCAGGCTGAAGGCCTGAGCATGAGTAGTCCAACCACAGCAACACTGAGGGTGCTGGCCTCTGTGGGGCTGGGTGGGGGCACTTCTCTCCACCCACTGCTGCTCAGAGGTAGACTTTGAGCAGCCTGCCTCCATCCAGGGCCAAGAATAAAGAGGTTGAGTTCTTACCTGCCTCTCCTTGTTGGATATCGAATCTGCTCGCACCTTCCAGGATGAAGAGAGGCTCTGATTTACCCTTCAATAAATCCTTAGAAAAGAGCAGGGAAAAGCCATGAGCATCTTTTATCCCTCTGCCCAGTGTGGTACCCAAGACATCACTCTCCTCGTCTTTGAGGAGTAGAGGTTACTTTGTAAAGAGGTCTTTAGGATCTGAGTTAGGAAAGTTCTCCTGATCCTTCAGGTTTTATCACTGACAGGGAGGCAGATGTCAGAGGGGTGTATGTGTAACTGCCCAGATAGGCAATAAATGCATGGGCAGACTGCACGAGGAGATAAGGACCAGGATCCTTACATAGACTGATCAGCCATCCTGGTCCCAACAGCAGTGTTTCATTAAGAGTCTATAAACAACCAAGAAAGAAAAGGATGCATTTGCTAGAGAAAACTTTCACAAGCATAATCACACTTTCCTTGTGAAATGTCATCTCTCAGAAGTTAGTATAGGCATTCGGAGCTCCAGGTCCAAGTCCAGCTACGTGCTGTACAGAATGCAGGTTGTGTATTACTCAGGTCTTTGGCCACTCCCTGGCTAACACCCAGACTGATTCTGGAAGACCCCAGGCAGCTTCTAGGTTTTCCTGCAACCAGGAACCTGCAGGATTTCCTCAGCATCCTCTCTGTGTCCTGGATCTCCATTGCATGGATTTGCATGATTTGGTATAATTGTTCCTGTAACATTTCTTTTCACATTGACAAAACAGTTCCCAGAGAGTGGGGCTGCAAAGTGGAAATGGATTCATCTGCTCAACAGCCATGAACATGTGGAGTCCTGTATCTTGTGAGACCTGTCAACCGTTTGTAAACTGCCCTTCAGTTTCCTGGTGGAGCCTCCGAGGGGCAAACAAAGGTGTGCGTGCCTGCAAACAAGTCAGCCAGCCCACCGCACCAGGCCTCCTCCCACCATCTTCTCTGCATACAACTGGCCCTCTCTGATGACCACGATGGGGCCCTCAGGCCCAGGTCCTTGCAGTGGAGGCACGGAGCCGACCCTGCCGTTGGCTGCATAGAACTCAGGGTCTGTCTTAACACCAACAGGAAGGGCAGAGCTGTCACAGGGCCCCTGGAGGGAGCAACTCTCCCAGTGTCAAAGCAACTTGGGGTGCTTTAGTGGCTCTAGTTGTCCTCTCCCTTTCTACTGGAACAGGAAACTCGAGGTCTTAGTGGAGGCTGGCTGGAGATCCTCCACTCAAGGGAATTAAAGAAGAGGGTGAAGGCGTTTGGGTTTTGGCTCAGCTTCTTTGTCATTTACTCCTGGTTTACCACCCTGCTGGGCAGAGCAGGGGTGGCTGTGCTGAGGGTCAGAAGAGCAGAACCTGGTGTGGAATCCTGTCTGCATTGTTCCTGCGGTGACCTTGAGCAACTTGTTTTACTTTGCCAAGCCTCGGTTTCTTCACGTGTAAGAAAATGGGCATCAAATGAGAAAGTCATGATGTCCCAGCTGCTGTGACCAAACCCTCATGGAGGACAAGATGCTTCATTCACAGTGATCTCCTGATGGACTTTCCAAACAGGAGTCCATTATTTTACAAATGAGGAAGGATGTGCAATATTAGCGTGGCATCAGACAAGGGGCCTGTTCAATAAATATTGATTCCCTGCTTCTGTAATATTTGCAAAATTAAAAAGACCACACTCATGGATAAACCTAGTGTCTCCAATGCATTCATTATTAAACAAGAGAGAATAAAAACAGGAATTACACAGTCGAATTATAGATTAAAAAAAAGAAAAATAGAGCCTCACAAAGATAGGTGGAAGGAAATGATAAAGAGAACAATTGGTGAATTACAAAATAGAAACACAGCAAGATCAGCAAATACATTGTATTTGGGGAGAAGGTTTACTTAGACCCAACCTTTGGCTAATACGGTAGAGAATCTTCAAATAAAATTAGAAATCTTGTTTTAACAATATGAAAACATGATGTAAAATTCTGTACTAATCGGTTTAAAACATACTAAAGATTGTTGAACAAAAACTAACATGGCCAAAAATGATCCAAGTTGGTAAATCACCTGAAAATCAATAACCTTGATATAGTGTTTTTTAATGATTAAAGAATACCTCCCTAATATCTCTGTCAAGGCTTCTACACACAAATTTGCTGCTGAGTTCTCTTAAATTTTCAGTTAAAAAATTCCTGTGTCGCTTGTAGTTTCAGCATTAGGGAAAAAAAAAAAAAGAATCCTGTCACTGTTTTATTTTAAAAAGCCAGCACAGCCTGGATGCCCAACCTGAGACACACACGCACACACAGCCCCCCCACAGATTGATTTCACTTATGGAAAAATACTGAAATAAATACCTGGCAAGGGAATCAACAATATATTACACAACTAACCCACTAGCATCAAGTAGGGTTTGCCACAGAAACGTAGGATGCCAGGATGGATTCCTATCAGGATATCTGATGGTATCAAATGACATTTACATAGGCCAAAAGAGAAATAATTGCTCTCTTTTCAGTAAATGCCATGAAGGCATTTCATGAATGCACAACTTTTTCTGATTTACCAGAATAGTAAAATTAAAAAACTGAAATTTTTGCCAAGTAGGAACAGAAGGATACTTTAACGTTCTAAAGATTAAATGGCAATTATTTCAAACCAAAAATCAGTCATCAACATCAAGTTCATGGACAAACACTAGAAGTGTGTGCATCAAAGTTGGGCACAAAACTAGCATTTTTGTCTCTTTTCCTGAGCTACCCATTTCTTCCTCACCCTGGCTTAAGAAGGGTCCTGAGCAATCCCAAAAGAGCAAAAGTAGGAGGAGACAGAAATTCTACCCAGAAGCATTTCAGTCTGCTGGGCGGCCTTCTGAGACCAGGCCCTCAAAGAAAACAGGTCAGTATGCTTGGAAGATAAAAACCCTCTGGCTCTGGGCAGATGCCCTTTCACCAGGAGGGCTGGGCGCACCATGACAGCGAGGGAATGTGACAGGACTGGTGATGGGCAGCCTCCAGCCCAGGAGTGACTCAGAATCACCCAGAAGTTTTGCAGACATGCAGGCTGCTGGATGTTGCCTTCCCACAACCTGTATTCTGTAGGTCAGTGGAGGTAGAGTTCAGGATCCACATAGCTCCTTCAGTGATTCCGAGGCTCAGCAGGGCAAGAAGCACGTTCAGAGAGGTTGAGTGATTTATTCTAGGTCACACAGGAGGCAGGCTATGCATTAGACCCTCCACCCACATAGTGCCTTTGCCATGGACCATACCAGCAGGCAGGGTCTTCAGTGTTTTCTGGTTCTGTGACATGAACTGGCCCTTTGAGGCCTCTGCAAAATCATCCGTACAGAAGGAAGCTGTGATGGTTCATTTTACGTATCAATTTGACTGGCTCATGGGGTACCTAGATATTTGGCTATACATTATTTCAAAGGAGTGCTTCCAGATGAAATTAGCATCTGAATCAGGGGACGAAGTAAAGAAGATTGCCCTCCCCAACATGGGTGGGCGCCATCCAATCTATGGAAGGCCTGAACAGAACAAAAGATAGAGGAAGGGAGAATTACCCCTTCTCTGCCTGACTGCTGCCCAGGGACTGGGGATGACATCATCAGCCCCCTTGGTCCTCAGGCCTTCCCTCGTGGGCTACACTATACCATCAGATCTCCCAGGTCTGCAGTTTGCAGATAGCAGACTGTGGGACGTCCTGCCTCCATAACTACATGTGCCAATTCCTCATAATAGATGAAGCAACATGCTATATCTCTACAGTTACTATTGGCTATGTCCTATTGGAGATCTCAACCTCTCCCCTCTCCATCTCCCTCTTCCCCTCTGCATCCACATCCACATCCATATCTGAAGTGGTACGACATCAGGCACTCCCCTGCAGTCATCCTTGGAGGTGTCTTTCTAATGTGGCATCACTTCCTGTGTTCTGGACAGTGATTCCTGTGTTCTTTTCAAGAGCTCCTCATGCCCTGCCCCAGACAATGTGCTGCTCTGGGATGGGGAAACGCCAGGTTTAGCGTGCTGGCCTTCAGACACAGCCCCTTTCAGCCAGTGGCCAGAGTTCAGGCAGGACCAGGTGGCAGGGTCACTCCCTTTTCTATGTTTGGCTAGAGAACTTTGTTTTATTGGAATCAAAGTTCTTCAGCACTGTGCTAATGGTCTGTTGCCCGTGTTCTCTCTCTGTTGCTGTTACTTTGTTAACCCCTTCCTTTCTGGGACAACTTATGTTGGAACCAAGGTGAGTCATTTCTAGCAAATGGTCCTTTCGGAAACTCTGCTCTGGTTACTTGGAAGATGAATGTTGTCATCTGGGTAAGTGACATTCTGGGCTTGCCACAGGCCAGAATCCACAGTGGGGCTGGGTGCTGAACCCTGAACCTGTTTTGGGCCCAGAGCCCATTCTTCAGTTGTATAATGAACATGTTTTTCACTAAAGAATGACGACAAAGATGAAATTTCAATCTCTTACTCTGACATATTGGTGACTCTGCTGTAAAGATCTATATCTACAATTATTTGCTTTCCAATATGGTAGTGACAAGCCATATTGGCTACTTACATTCAAATTAAATTAAATCCAGCTCAGCTGGTAAAGAACTCGCTTGCCAGTGCAAAAGACATAAGAGACATGAGTTCAATCCCTGAATCAGGCAGATCCTCTGGAGAAGGAAATGGCAACCCACTCCAGTATTCTTGCCTGGAAAATTCCATGGACAGAAGAGCCTGGGGGCTACAGTCCATGGAGTCACAAAGTGTCAGACATGACTGAACATGCATACACAGCCTGACGTATTGGCAACTCTGCTGTGAAGATCTACAATTCTGTGCTTTCCAATATGGTAGCCACAAGCTATATTAGCTACTTACACTTAAATGAAATTTAATCTTCAACATCTCAGTCACACTGGCCACATTTCAATCGTCTGATATCAACATGTGACTAGTGGCTCCTGTATTGGCAGAAAGGACGTTTCTATCCTCGCAGAAAGTTCTTTTGGATGGTGCTGATTTATTGAGTGAGGATATCATCATCTGGGCTTCCCTAGTAACTCAAATGGTAAAGAATCTGCCTGCAATGCATGAGACCGGGGTTCGATCCATGGGTTGGAAAGATCCCCTGGAAAAGGAAATGGGTACCCACTCCAGTATTCTTTCCTAGAGAATCCCATGGACAGAGCCTGGCGGGCTACAGTCCATGGCATTGTAAAGAGTCAGACATGACTAGCAACTAACATATACACACACAATATCATCTACCTCAGTGGCCTGTTATGGCAACTAAATGAAATGTTGTATGTAAGGTGCTTAGATTAATACTCAGCATAGAGACATGCTTGATAAATGGAATTTGATATTATTAATGAGATAACATTTTTAGAAGAAAGTGACTCTACCAAATTTAGTTTGAGGAAATCTCATGTAGAGTCTCTGAGTACAGGTGTAATTCCCAGCATCATCTCTTCCTGAGGCTGGGGTTGCAGGAAGCATTGAGGAGGATGAGGAGTTGGGTCCTTTCAGGGCCTTTTGCTCTGGGCACAGTCACAGGCATTTATGGAACCTGACTACCTGCTGGTCGGGGGGAAGGGAGGATCTGAGGAGTGGGTTACTGATTCCTTAAACCCAGAATAGCTGAAGGAAGCAATGGGAGCAGCTTCTACCATAGCAAAATGGATCAGGTCTAATTGTTAGAGGGGATAAGAAGAAGGAAGAGGTAGACAAAAGGAGAGAGAGATAACATAAACTACATGAGAAACAACTTTGCTTCTTCGTGTAGAAAGCCAAGCCTAGTTTCATGTCCCTGACTCTTGCCCTGTTGCTGAACCTACCAAGTCTGGATGAGTACTTGAGGTAGAAGGATATCCATGCTGGTTTAGCGGCTGCCTAGAGTATGATGCTTTTCCATTGTCTAGAAACCACAGAATGCAGAAATGCCCTAAGGAGCCTTGGTGCCACCTCAGCTGCTATATAACTGAAGTTTAGGGGATGCCAGTCAGGTCTCTGGTCAGGCACTGAGCAAGCTTTAGATTGGGAGCCACCCTTCTAATAGAGATAGACGGCAGAATGTGAGAGGAAAAGCACCCTGCACACTCTCTGCCAGCCTCCTCTGGGCTCCCCAGACAGTTTCCTCTGACCCACATTTCTCCTTAAACAGGCTGGATGCATGATATAAGTGCTCAGGCCTGGTGCACTGGGAAGACCCAGAGGAATTGGGTGGAGAGGGAGGTGGGAGGGGGGATCGGGATGGGGAATACATGTAAATCCATGGCTGATTCATGTCAATGTATGACAAAAACTACTACAATATTGTAAAATAATTAGCCCCCAACTAATAAAAATAAATGGAAAAAAAAAGAAGTGTCTGTTGAAATTGCCTGAAGACTGAAGCTGAGATGACTGGACAGTGAAAGCCCAAGGAATCCTAAGGGATGGCCCCTGTTGCTGCTACTCTATGCCATCCCTCTCAAATTAATCAGAGTAACAATAACTAGTGTTTAGTAAGTTCTTACAATGTGCTAGACAATGTTCTATGTATTGTCTTCATTTATTCCTTAAAATAATATTGTTAGGCACTGGTTCCATTTTTATCCTCACACTTTTCACCTAAAAAAATGAAAAGAAGGGCAGAACATAGACAGAGATTGATTCCTGGTTACTCAGACAAAGAAGGAGATTCTATTGATATACGAGATATTATTAGTAGCAAACAGGAGCCTAAAATACAATATGAGGAAAAGTGCAGTATGTGGGGGAGCTTCCCGGTTGGCTCAGTGGTAAAGAATCCACCTGCTGATGCAGGAGATGCAGTTTCAATCCCTGGGAAGATCCCCTGGAGAAGGAAATAGCAATCCACTCCAGTATTCTTGCCTTGAGAATCCCATGGACAGAGGAGCCTTGTGGGCTACATACAGTACATGGGGTTACAAGGAGTCGGACATGACAGCAACTGAAGATGCACACACATAGTATGTGAAGTCAGAAATTTTATTTTAAATCCTGCTCTTTCCCTAACTATGTCACATTGTGCAAGTCACATCACCTGTCTGAACCTGTTCCCTCATAAAACTGGGAAAGAACAAAAGACAGAGAAAGAGAAGACATATGGAAACCTCTGAAAAATACAAGTGTTAAGTGCTGCCAGTTGCAATAAGGGATACAAAGAAATATCCACGTGTACATTTTAAAAGAAATGTGGGAATGAAAAATGATCCCCTGGTAGAGTTTTTCGATGGATAAGCTTTTGGGTGAGAAGAATGGGAGTAAAATGTACTTGGCCCCTGGCTGCCTCTACTTTGGGTTCCTGGAATGATTCTGTGTGAGTCATTTCATTTCTGTTTGCCTCAGTTTCTCCTTGACCCCAAAAGACATCAGAAGTTGAGATGTTGCTGGAATTAGATAATAAAAAACTCAATCCTTTCTAAATAAAAATGTTATAAGTTCTTCAACACTATAAATATAGTCTCACATCTATTGCTCAGTACCTTGTGGAAAAAAAAAACATTCTAAAAGAATCTCATCTGAAAATAACAAAGGGAGGAAAAATATAATTCTTCCAAGCTTTAAATAGAGTTCTCTGCTCAGTTCTCCTTAGGAGTGAAGTCCAGAAGGGAGTCGTTGTTGGGGACTTACTGCTTCTGGCTGGTAAGATGGATCTAGAAGTTTGAAGCACCCTCATCTTAACTAAGCAGCATTCTAAACCCCATCAGATCCCCACTCACCCTCGCCTTCCCCAAAGCTACAAATTGGTCCTGAATTAGGACAAGAGGTTGTTACTCCAGGGTTTATGTCTTGTTCTGTCATCAGAAAACACCTATTCTGTATAACCTAACCTGGCTTCATTGAGTGTGTTCCACAGAGTGCTTGGCGTTTCATTCACTTTCAGTAACCCTGGTGATATTACAACCATTAGCTTACTAGACATTATACTCTGTCCTCTTGTTCTAGGTTCTGCTGTCTACTATTGGAAGCATGAACAGGATGTTTCAGCATCAGTGCCCTCAGAGTGGCCCTTAGCTAGGTCCTTTGTATCATTGAAAATGACAGCACGCGAATGTTTAGTGGACTGAGACATTTCCCTTGGCGCTTCATGTCCTGAAACTGAAATAGTTCTAGAAAAACCAAGAGGGCTCACTTAGCTGCAAGGTGGAGTTAGTGGTCATCTATTGGGGTGGGGGAGTCAGGAGGTTGAACATTGCCACAAAATATCTCTTTAATTTTACAACTGATGTCTAAAACTCTTTTATAGGTGATCAGCCTTTACAAGACTAAAAATACAAATACATGTGAGAGAGGCAAGGTAATTATTGAAATTCATCCTATTGTACAAGTGATTGACATGTTATCTTCCCTTTGAGTAAATTCTAACAAGGAAAGAAAAAAAGAAAAAGACAGTGATACCTGAACAGAATAAAGAGTGATGAACACTGACAGAGGGGTTCGTTTATATAGATGGAAGAGACCCTACAGCTACTACTACAAGCCTCTTACCCTTGCTTCCCCATTTTTTATGTGGGAATCCTGAGGCATGTAACCTAGTGACATGCTGTGTTAGAACTGTGTTAAAACCCAGGGCTCCTGTTTCCTGGTATAGAGTCTTTCCATCCCACTCTGGATGCAACACTGTAGCTGAGGGGATCAGATGAATTTCAGTCTTCTTCCAGTTTGGTTTGGGCAAGCCCTGAAAACCAGGTTTCAAGCCCATCCTTTCAGTGGGAAGTACCATGGGAGATAGTCAGAGGGCCCAGGAGCCGGGCATGTCCCTGGTGGGGAGTTTCACTCACCTTTGGCCGCATCCAGCTTAGGTTGGAGAGGTTTCTTCCCTTGAGGAGCTGCAGACCTATGGAATAAGCCTCCGCAGGAAACGTCTCATCCTCAAACAGCAGCCCTCTGTTTAGGCAATGACCCCATAAGGAGTAAAAGTCCTGCTCCTTGAGTTTGATGATGGGGGTCTTGGCTGGAAACTGCTGGTTGTGTGCCATGATTCTTCCTAGAAGAGGTATCAGATCTTTCCTTTTGGGTGAGAAAAAGAGGTGTTTTTAGGGATAAGCTGTCAAGTACTTTGTATCACTGGATGTGAGCCCTGGAAGGCATTCAGATGTCTGCCACCTTCACAGGTGAGACTGGAACCACGTAAGTTCTGTTCCTGTGGGCCCAGCCAGTTGGTGGGAGGCAAGCCCAGACTAGAATCCAATAAAACTTCCTTCCAGGTCAGTTTTCAATCTGTTTACCGAACAGCTTCTCAGGATGCTCTTACATGCATGAGAGCCTATGTGTACCTTAATGAACATTTATTGAGTACTGATCTTGTACCAGGCACTTTTCTGAATGTTGGTAATTCAAAGATAAATATGACATGATCTTTATCCCCTAGAGGCTCATTATCAAGTGGCAAAATATATTAGACATTTCAACAACTAGCTATCGTTCAACAGAAATGGTCTACTTAGAAATGTGTAAAAAGTCCTGTGGACATAAATAAGAGGAGCTAGGAACTGCCAAGGGATGTTTCTCCCACGAGTTCTCACCTTGCAATTGGCCTTGAGGGAAAATAATTTTCCAGGTGGAGAACTGGTAGGTAGATTTTTAAAAAAAGTCCTAGGACTTCCCTGGTGGTCCAATGGCTGAGACTTTGTGTTCCCAATGCAGGGGGCATGGGTTTGATCCCTGAGGAGAACTAGATCCCCATGCCACAACTAAGACCCAGGACAGCAAAATAAATAAATATTTTTTTAAAAGTCTCTCCAGAAGATGGCGGAGGAATAGGACGGGGAGACCACTTTCTCCCCTACAAATTCATCGAAAGAACATTTGAACGCTGAGCAAACTTCATAAAACAACTTCTGAACGCTAGCAGAAGACATCAGGCACCCAGAAAAGCAGCCCATCATCTTCTAAAGGAGGTAGGACAAAATATAAAAGATAAAAAGAGAGAGAAAAGAGTTAGTGATGGAGACCCGTCCCGGGAAGGGAGTCGTAACAGAGGAAGTTTCCAAACACCAGGAAACCCTCTCACAGGAGGGTCTGGGGGAAGTTTTCGAATCTTGGAGGGCAACCTAACTGGGAGGAAAAATAAATAAAACTCACAGATTACATGCCTAAAAGCAACTCCCAGCAGAAAAGTACCCCCAGACGCCCGCATCTGCCACCAGCAAGCAGGGGCGGAACGGAGAGGAGCCGGCAGCATTGCTTAGGGTAAGGACCAGGCCCGAATGCCCTGAGGGCAATCGGAGGGAACTAAAGTGAGATAGCAACTTAAACTGTGGGAAAGCAAGAGAGAGAGAAAATTAACTGGCCGGAACACACTGCTGGCCGTTCGCAGAACAAAGGGACTGAGCAATTACAGAGAAGAGCTAGCCGGCGGTGGGACCGGCCCATCCCCGCTGGAGGCAGGAGGCAGGAGGCAGGGGGGAGGGGAAAGGGGCAAACTCGGCCCCAGAGATGGCACCCCCTACTGCACTGCAAACATGCTTCCAGTTTCTAACCAAAGACTTCCTGAGATTCTGGATGGTCGACATCCGCCAGGAGGGTCGCAGCTAGAGGCCAACTCCCAAGAATAGACACAAGCCGCACGCATCTGACTGGCGCGCGAGGAAACTGAGGCTGGGACCGTGGAGGGGAGAAGGCGCACCGCACCCAGGGAGAGTGCGCCCGTCAAGCCCCTGGCTGCCTGAGTTGCTCCGGCCGGGGAAGGCACAAAACGCAGGCCCAACCGAGTCTGCGCTTTTGTGGAGTACCCGAAAACTGGAACCGCACACCACGCAGGGCACACTCCCTATAGAGCAGCGGGGAGCCTGGGCAGTATAGACGGGGAGAGCACACACCCGTGAGCGGGGCAAACCCAGTGTGGCCGGAACACTGCGAGTGCTCCCCACACACAGTGATATCTGTCTGCAGCTCCCCTCCCTCACCGCAGCACAACTGAACCAGCGAACCTAAACAAGAGACCACCTCCGCCCGCCTGTGTCAGGGTGGAAATTAGACACTGAAGAGACCGGCAAACAGAAGCCAAATAAACAAAGGGAACCGCTTCAGAAGGGACCAGTGCAACAGATTAAAATCTCTGTAGGTAACACTGACTACACCGGAAGGGGCCTATAGATATCAAGAAGTGTAAGCTGGAACAAGGAGCTATCTGAAACTGAACCAAACCCACACTGACCGCAACAGCTCCAGAGAAATTCCTAGATATATTTTTACTTTTCTTTTTAATTAAAAAAATTTTTTTCTTTTCTTTTTTTAATTTTTTCTCTTTTATTTTCTTTTAAAATTCCCTATTACTCCCCCATTACTCCTTAACTTTCATTTTCATTTTCATATATTTTTACTATTTTTTTAATTAGGAAAAAAATTTTTTTCCTGTTTTATTTTTTTTCTCTTATTTTCTTTTAAAGTCCTCTATTACTCCTCTATTACTCCTTAATTTTCATTTTCATTTCACTATAACCTTGCAAAAAAAAAAGAAGCCATATTTTTAAACCGAACTTCATATATATTTCTAAAATTTTTTGTGTTTTTGTTTTTAATATTGTATTTTTAAGAGTCTAACCTCTACTCTAGATTTTTAATCTTTGTTTTTCAGTATTTGATATCAATTTTGGACATTTAAGAATCCAATATTCAGTACCCATTTTTACTCAGGAGTTTGTTGATTACTTTCTCCCACTTTTGACTCTCTGTTTTCTACCTCAGAACACCTCTATTTCCTCCCTCCCTCTTCTCTTCCCAATCCAATCCTGTGAATCTCTGTGGGTGTCTGGGCTACGTAGAACACTTTGGGAACAGAGAACTGCGTAGCTCTGTCTGTCTCCTCTTGAGTCCCCCTTTTCTCCTCCTGCTCACCTCTATCTCCTTCCTCCCTCTCCTCCTCTTCATGTAACTCTGTGAACCTCTCCGGGTGTCCCTCACGGTGGAGAATCTTTTCACCATTAACCTAGAAGTTTTATTATCAGTGCTGTATAGTTGGAGAAGTCTTGAGACTACTGGAAGAATAAAACTGAAATCCAGAGGCAGGAGACTTAAGCCCAAAACCTGAGAACACCAGAAAACTCCTGACTACACAAAACATTAAGTAATAAGAGACCATCCAAATGCCTCCATACCTACACTGAAACCAACCACCACCCAAGAGCCAATAAGTTCCAGAGCAAAACATACCATGCAAATTCTCCAGCAATGCAGGAACATAGCCCTGAGCATCAACATACAGGCTGCCCAAAGTCACACCTAACACATAGACCCATCTCAAAACTCATTACTGGACACTCCATTGCACTCCAGAGAGAAGAAATCCAGTTCCACGCACCAGAACACTGATGCAAGCTTCCCCAACCAGGAAACCTTGACAAGACAATTGTCCAACCCCACCCACTGGGTGAAACCTCCACATTAAAAAGGAACCACAGACCACCAGAACACAGAAAGCCCACTCCAGACACAGCAATCTAAACAAGATGAAAAGGCAGAGAAATACCCAACAGGTAAAGGAACATGAAAATGCCCACCAAGTCAAACAAAAGAGGAGGAGAAAGGGAATCTACCTGAAAAAATAATTTATAATAATGATAATAAAAATGATCCAAAATCTTGAAAACAAAATGGAGTTACAGATAAATAGCCTGGAGACAAAGATTGAGAAGATGCAAGAAATGTTTAATAAGGACCTAGAAGAAATAAAAAAGAGTCAATTAAAAATGAATAATGCAATAAATGAGATCAAAAACACTCTGGAGGGAACCAACAGTAAAACAATGGAGACAGAAGATAGGATAAGTGAGGTAGAAGATAAAATGGTGGAAATAAATGAAGCAGAGAGGAAAAAAGAAAAAAGAATCAAAAGAAATGAGGACAACCTCAGGGACCTCTGGGACAATGTGAAATGCCCCAACATTTGAATCATAGGAGTCCCAGAAGAAGAAGACAAAAAGAAAGGCCATGAGAAAATACTCGAGGAGATAGTAGCTGAAAACTTCCCTAAAATGGGAAAGGAAATAGCCACCCAAGTCCAAGAAACCCAGAGAGTCCCAAACAGGATAAACCCAAGGCGAAACACCCCAAGACACATATTAATCAAATTAATAAAGATTAAACACAAAGAACAAATATTAAAAGCAGCAAGGGAGAAACAACAAATAACACACAAAGGGATTCCCATAAGGATAACAGCTGATCTAGCAATAGAAACCCTTCAGGCCAGAAGGGAATGACAGGACATACTTCAAGTAATGAAAGAGAATAACCTACAACCTAGATTACTGTACCCAGCAAGGATCTCATTCAGATATGAAGGAGAACTCAAAAGCTTTACAGACAAGCAAAAGCTGAGAGAATTCAGCACCACCAAACCAGCTCTTCAACAAATGCTAAAGGATCTTCTCTAGACAGGAAACACAGAAAGGTTGTATAAACGCGAACCCAAAACAACAAAGTAAATGGCAACGGGACCATACCTATCAATAATTACCTGAAATGTAAATAGGTTGAATGCCCCAACCAAAAGACAAAGACTGGCTGAATGGATACAAAAACAAGACCCCCATATATGCTGTCTACAAGAGACCCACCTCAAAACAAGGGACACATACAGACTAAAAGTGAAGGGCTGGAAAAAAATATTTCATGCAAACGGAGACCAAAAGAAAGTAGGAGTCGCAATATTCATATCAGATAAAATAGACTTTAAAATAAAAGCTGTGAAAAGAGACAAAGAAGGACATTATATAATGATCAAAGGATCAATCCAAGAAAAAGACATAACAATTATAAATATATATGCACCCAACATAGGAGCACCACAATATGTAAGGCAAACACTAACAAGTATGAAAGAGGAAATTAATAGTAACACAATAATAGTGGGAGACTTTAATACCCCACTCACAACTATGGATAGATCAACTAAACAGAAAATTAACAAGGAAACACAAACTTTAAATGACACAATGGACCAGCTAGACCTAATTGATATCTATAGGACATTTCA